AGCAGGAGCCGTGCCCCCCTCCCGTCTCCTTGCTCCTGGGCACAGGCACACCTTTCCGGTTCCTTTGTCCGACGTAAATAGGGCAATTCGCAGAGGCGCCGATTGGCTCAAGCCCCGAGGGGGATGGGAGGCCGGTCTGATGGGCAGCTTCTGCCACCCGGACCTCCCCCCCACTTCAAACCATGACACAGGGTGAGCTCACAGAAAGCTACGGCAAAGGAGTAGGGTTGCTGTGGATTCAAGGCTGTGTCAGTGGCCTCCCAGAAGGTCATGTTCATGTGATTGCAAGATAGTAATACAAGTCCAGGAGCAGAGTGCTTTGCCATCAGAATTGGAAAAGAGTGAGTGGCTGCCAGCGTTTCCATACATCTAAATTCCCCAACTCCAATAATTAAAACTGTCAGTGTCTAGTTTCATGGGACGGTTGACTGGTAAGAGATGATGCAAACTGTAAATAACAGTATCTTTCACTTCAGGTCTCATTTTAGCATGGACAAAGCAGCTGAAGTCACGTGGCAGCTGGAAGATTCACCTGGCAAAGCAGGACAGCAAGAGCAAAGCCCTGATGATGGAGACAAAGCAGAAGTGCCAGGACAGAACGCACACAGCAAGGACAAGCCACCCCAGAGCCATTCTCTCCAGTGGGAGACTCTAGGAAGACAGTTTGTGGAGTATGAGCAGGTGGCTCCATTTCTCATCCCAGAGGAGCAACAGAGGAGGCTGCTGGACTTTCTTCCCCTCTTCTTAAAGGTTTGTTCTCCTTGTTGCCTTTAGTGCAGATGCTAAGGATGTAAATTTGAGTTTCTGTTGCTCTGCTTGTTCTGGGGTCACTCTAACTGCCAGAGGAATTAACTGGAGCATGATTCCTTCATCTAGGTGATAACAACTTTTATTCCATTGGGAGCCTGGGGAAACAGTTTCTTGTCCTCCTTTCATCTAACTAACCTGCTGTGTTAGCATGAGAAAAATATATGGGGGAGCTGCTTTACTTTTGTGAATGGCAAAATTCTATTCTTAGAGTCAAGAGATGTGTTGATGAGACAGGTGTGTTTCAAAGCGACTACCCTGTGAAGAGGTTACTTCATGTCTGCCTCATCTATTTTATTACTTAGTGGAGACTGAGCACAATTTAAGTCTGGGAAAATGTGGTTGTGGCATGCAGCCAGCTAGGGGAAATGCAGGGGTACAGTCTTCAGATGGAATTTTTGGGTTAATGAGAGTGCTGATGTCTCATTTGAGTGCTTGAGAGAAGAATTGTGTTATAGATGGGGAAGCTGAGGCATGAGGACAGGAAGGTCATACTGTGGGTGAGGGACACAGCTGGGAACAAGAACATTTTAGTTAGCAGGCTGCCCTACTCCATGCCCTAGAACTTCCATCAGCCAACAATTTCTGAGATGGCCATACTGAAAGGGAAACTGGAAGAGCTCTGCAGTGAATGGGAGCTTTATGGGTTGGTTTTGTTTGCTAGAGTATTTGAAATGTATAGGGAACTGTTTGAGTGGACCATACAGCAACAGAATGGCAAAGCTTATCCTGAGAGGAGCAGAAAGTCTGATCTATCTTTAAACATACTGTGGCTGTGTTGTAGTATAGAACAATTGTTTTTCTCTTGGATTACCTTGGGTATTTATGGGTATGGAGTCTGTGTTTTTACACTCTCTCCCTATGTAAGTCTTTCAGAAAGAAAATAAAAGATTATTTTTGGTGAAACCATATTTTAATAATGGCATATTTCATCCATCTGTACTTGTGAGTTTTCAGTGTTTTTGAGTCACCAAACTCAGATCCGTCTGTTCCATGCCTAACCAAGCTGGTTTGCTAAAAAGAAGTCAGTGGGCAGGTCAGAAAAAAAATAAATTAATGACATGTTCACTCTGTTTATATGGAAGCATGGTGGGACATAAAGTGATACTGCATATTGAGAGGGATGTTCTAAACTGCATGTGTGAGGAAATCACTGTGCTTAGGGCTATGAAATCTTTGGTGTTCATGACAGTAAAGCAGAAGTAACTTGCAGATATTCATAAACCTTTCACTCAGCTAGATGGAGCATGAGCCTGTGAAGCTTCTAAGTCTTGGTGCAGATCAGGACTTTGGAACTGCTGTAGATGCTGGTGTCAGTTAACAGCACTGAAGGAGGTCACCCATTGGTGTCAGCATGGTGCAACTGAGTTGCAGATAGGGTTTGGTGATGCCTATGATGAAGAGTTTGCTGGTTTGAGTACAAGCTTGCCCTGGTCCAAGGCAGCTCAGACAAAACGAATGAAAGGGTCTGAAAAGTCAATGAGTGTGTAGCCTGGGGTCTCAGAAGCAGCCTTCTTGTTTAATCCAAATGGCCCTACAGATATTTTATCGTTGCTGACAAAGCTTTCACTTTTCACCACTTCCTCTCAACTTCTGGATTTTTTTGTGTAGAAGAGTGTCCCTTCTGAACCAAAAACTATATTTGAGGAGAAGAGCTGTTGCTCTGCATATGTGCCTGGCACTGGAAACGAATCTCTCTCTCTGCATATGGCATTACATGTGCTGGGGCGGGCTTGGGTCTTCTGGGAGCTCACCATCGCTTTATCAGGTCACAAAAATTCTGGCTTTGCAAAGGGGCAACGTTCCTTCCACAGCCTTCAAAGAATGCTCTTCGAAGTCAGATCAGGACTGATAATCTGACAGTTTTATGTAGGGGGGCACCTTCTTATTCCATGAATCTTCTTTTCAAATGGCATGCTGAAAATTGCACTCTTGTTCTTGTAAGACAGCACAGCAACAAGAGACAACCTTTTTGCTTGGAGCAAAAGCCATCTATTCTGCTTTTCCTAGACCTGTTTTCAGACCTCCTGTCCTCCTTCCTCTTGAAGATCCATGGAAAACATACATTCTTACTGCATCAAGGGTCTAGCTTCATCCCAAGACAGGCTTTGCTGTGGGAGATAGTCTCTCCAAACTGCTCCCTCTCTCTCATAAGCAATGTATTGCAGGCTTGTGAAATTCTTCTGCTGAGGTTTTCCTGCCTCAAATTTACAATGAAATTGAAATTCCCAGATCTCAGAGTTTCTGAATTCTGTTGCGGCTTTAGTTTTTGAATACCGTATAGTGAACATGAAGTAAGCAAATCTTGGCGAGATGATGTAGAACTTCAGATATGCTGATCATCAACTAAGTATGAATAGCAAGAATGCCTTACATGCAACGGTCGTTTTTTGGAGTGGAACTTTCAAAGGACTGAGGAAGTTGTTACTGAATAAAGCTGATGAAAGCTACAAAATCTAGAAGTCTTAGGAATTAAAAATTGGATAGCAAAGCAGGAAATTGCTTAATTATCATGACATATGCAAAATAAACTTTAGTACCAATGGGTCAATGGACAGCTATTCCCCAGGAGACCAACTGAGTATTTCTAACAGACTGGCGATGTTGTGCATATGCATACTCATCATGTATTTCCCCTCTTGTAGGGTTGAACTTCACATGCTTTAGGATTGTGGAAAGTGATTTCCTTAATTGCAGTAATGCTTGCGAAGAGGGGCTTTTAAATTCCTAAAGGATATTTTGGCTACAGAATATATTCAGAATGGAGATATGAATTCCTTGCTAGCTTAACACTTGATTTTGTGCCCTAAGAGATTCTTCCACTTAGATGTATGAGTGGAGCTTTGCAGTCCTTTGTAGGCATTTAGGTTCAGATGTGTGGCTAGAGCCTTTTGGCCTTGCATCATTAATTTAGGAGTACATTGTGGAGGATCTGGGACTTTAGCTTTGAGTCATCATGTCCTTCCCAGTATGACTTTTACTCTCTTCACGTACCAGCCTTCCACTTTGTGCTAAACCCCTGGGCTGGCTTGGGGAGACACATCTTCGTTTGAGTTGTACATTTATGAAGTTCTTAGAGAAACTGCCTCACTTCCTCCTCTTTAAGAGGGGACTCTGCATAAGTCCACTCCCTACTTGGAGGATTTTAGTCTCTAGCTTTTCCGTTCCTTGTTTGATCATACAGATGCCAGTGCATCTCTGTCTTTTTGTCTTGGAGCTTTAGCTCTTACTCACTTGGCTGGAAAGAAAGGGTGTAACTAGGAGCCATCTGGGGTGTGGGGACTCACTATTCACTGATACTCCTTGATGTGGAAGGAAAAGCTGTAGGAGGAAAATGTTAGCTATCTGCTTGTGATTCAGGCCTAGGCTGGGAATAATTTCGATGTGCCCTCTTGTATCTTCCCTCTTGGTGCCTCAGAAAGTATCATAATGTTCTATTACATCGCTGGCTTTTGAGCTAGCATCTCTCTGTAAAGAAGAGAGGAAGGACATATAGGAAGAACATATGGCAACAGCAGACACAGGGAACTTGTGGCAGAATCTTAAACATGTAGAAACAGGCTTAAGAGGAACAAAGAAAATCAGATTACATCAATACCATGTTATTTGAGGCAGACATCCTGGAATGGAATCAGGTTGATGTTTTCCCAGATACGGATCTCTTATAGATTCAAAGATTAATATGGAACCGATTAGGTCTGTTCTCAAAAGAGAGCATATTCTAGAGGCTGGTGTCTGACCCACAGGAAAATCATCTATAAAATCAAATCAGAACATTATTGGCCTGGTCTGTAGTGACATAGATTTGCTAAATATTTGCACAATGGTAGCATTGCTGTGAACCTTTGATTACTGCTCTCTGCTGTGCATGATTTGAACTTCTAAAATGTATCCTGCTTTTTCTATTAGCAGAAAAGTGAATATAATAACTCCTTTCTGAAGTGTTCAGAGGGTGTTCCTCTTTGAGGCAGAGGGGCAGGAACCTATCACTGCTTTCTTCTGAAAAAGAATATAGCTTAATGACAGACATTGTATGTTCTTAAGTGGCTGTGGGTTTCATGTCATTGTGTTTGCCCAGCTTGCTTCTGTTCTTTACAGATCTTCCCTCATTTCTGCATCAGAAGTGCAGGAATTCGTGGATTTTGCTCCAGCAACTGAGGGTCTCTGAAAATAATTTAAGGTCAAAATCTGAAAAAAAAATAGCTTGTTTTTTTTAATATTGTTGATTGATTGAAAATTAATTGATAGGCACACCATACAATTGTGTTTCACTGTTTTATAGCCCAGAAAAGGAGTTAGGTGCAGTTCCAGAGGTGAATGCAGAAAATGAAGTAAAAAGTAGGTGCTTGCCTGATTGCCGACAGATGACTGGCACTTTGTGGGGAAAGAAATAGCTTGTCCATAAGCTGCCATCAGCAAAGAGCGAGCAACTAATTGAAAGCAACAGTAGGGGGATGAAATAATATTCATAGATGGTCTTTCACAAAGAGTTGCAGTGATTTCTTGGCAGATGGTATTATGGGGTGTTTGCTCCAAATTATTTTGGGAGAACAGATGTCTTACTGTTTTTCTTACTTTCGTTTCATCATCTGGCCTTACAGCTTGATTTTTCTGAGCTTCTAGAAGGAGGAGACTTTTGTAAAGCAAATTTTCAAGGTTGCTAGGGACAGAGGTGTCTCAGCCTGGTATTTAGAGGTGAATGCTGCACTATTGCTAATACATTGATGTGTGTAGCGTCAGATGTTCTATATAAAAGTAATGGCACCTGATTTGCAGATGCCATTTGGATGCGATAGTCTACTGGAATATTTTTTATGGCTTTTGAATTTTTTTCCCTCCAAATTCAAGATTAACAAGCATTTGAGAGGAGATCTGTTTGTCAGACTCAGAACAGGGAACCATCAAGTCTTGCTGTTGTTCCTCTTGTCAGTTTTACATTGAAATGCTTGTTCATTCTTGAACAAGTAATTTATACACTTATTTATAAGTTGCTTATAAATTTTTCTATGAATTTGCTTTCCTAGGCTAGCTATGCATTTAGGACTATACCTTCCTGTTTAGAGGTCCTTGTTATAGCACAGGAAATGTTTAGAAATCATGATCTGGTAAATATTTACTTTCACCATCTCAGCATTTTAGAAGTGCATCTTTTCCTATGTTAGCACCGATCTGTAATCATGATGTGACCTACCTTGTAGTGTTGTAAATGCCTAGCCAGGCAGGATTGTCACTCCAGGCCTGGCAGCCTACATCTTAACCTCACAGGCAGATGGTCAGGCAACTCATATTGCTGCAAAATCACAACTAGTGCCTTTTGGGCTAGAATATTGCTGGTCTTTCAGTTCCTTTCCCCATGTTCTCTTTTATTTCCTTAGTTTTCAGCAAAGATTATTTCTGTCTGGCAAGAAAGGCTGATTTTATGAGCCCTACTTTCCTCCCAGAATAAAGTAGAATTGAAAGGCAAAAACTTTACGAATGTATTAAAAAAAACCCCACAATAAACCCAACCATGACCCCAAACCAAAAACTCGTTTGTTCATTCTGTCATTTTTATAAATTTATTGACTCAAAAGAAGTAGTTCAGTTTCAGGTGAATCTTGGCCAGTATACTGCTACCTGGGAGCAGTAGTCCTGTATTACCGTGGTTTCTTTTTGACAAATCTGTTGCAAAGGCTCCATGAGAGCAGCAGTTCCAATCCCATTTCAGTCTCTAGGGAGCTGAAACTATGCAATGACTTGCTGAACAGAGAAAACAGCATTTTTATTTTTAATTTTTATTCAGTAGAAAACTGGGGTTTTATTTATGAGGAGACAAGTTTTTGGAGAAGAATATGCTTTTACTGAAAAATTCTTGGAGAACTGCAGCTGTAACTTCTTCAGGGTACAGGGCGTTTATATTGTATTTCAAAAGGGACTAGCATGCTTTTTGATACAAGTAATTAGTGACACAGGGGCTATGACAAACATTTACATTGTTTTACTTATATTCAATGGAGAAAATAATGTAAATGCTCTCTAGTAGGTGCATTACATGATTCAAATGGTAGTTCCAGGTTAACTTCTGTATCTGTAGTGTGAGAATCCTTCCTGTCTGGCAAATACTGCTCAATGGACTACACTGGCTGGGGAGGGAATTTTGCAGGGGAATGTTAGCTTTATGTTTGTTTGTTTATATTTATCAGTACTTCTCAATCTAGCAAAGACGTGCTATATAAGAAAGGCTTAACAATTACACTTGGATTTTAGGTCTGGGACGAGTCTGCTGGAGTAATCGTATTCCCCAACATTCAGCTGTTAGCCAGTGAGGTTTCCAAGCTTCTGACAAAAGAAATTAAGAAGAACCTCAATGGCAAACCTGCAGGTAATGGTCCCAAACCATATTCACTGGATTCACTTATTCTGGGAATGTGGTGTCAGTCAACTGTCCTCTGTGCTTAGCATGAGGGAAATAAAGAGGGAACAGGAAAATGCAAAGTGTTGCAAGCCAGACCTTTTAGTAGATGTGAGCTAGCACTGGTTTTGGATGATTGAACTGAAGATCTGGCCTTGTATGCTGTGCTGACCTTTGTTTTGGAACTTTTGAAGATGGAAATGTATAATACTGCAGCTATGCAGTAAAAGAGTAGGCTACTTGCTGTTCTGAGAAGCTTTCTTTAGTGAGAAAAGTACTGCTAGCCACACATGGCTTTCCTGGACAAGGGGCAATGGATTTAAACTGAAAAAGGGGAGATTTCGATTAGATGTAAGGAAGAAATTTTTTACATTGAGGGTGGTGAGGCACTGAAACAGGTTGCCCAGAGTTGTGGATGCCCCATCCCTGGAAGTGTTCAAGGCCAGGTTGTATGAGGCTTTGGGCAACCTGGTGTAGTGGAGGGTTTCTTTGCCCATGGCAGGGGGGTTGGAACTAGGTGATCTTTAAGGTCCCTTCCAACCCTAACCATTCTATGATTCCTGGTGGTTGTTGTACGTTCTTTGCACTGATCAGTTGGTAGACTTCATGAAGGGAGCTGGTATTTCCAGTGAAGCTTGTCTGTTTGAAACATGTGGTTGACATGAACTGTCCCAAGCTGGATGCTGGATCAAAATCTTATGTCCTTCTGTTCACTTCAGCGGACTCCTGCTACTGTAATTTTGTAAATTTGTCAGATCTAAGACAGAATCAATGCAGCATTTTCACCTTTCATCAAGGAATTAAATTTTAATGTTTTTGTGGTAATAGAGGAAGCTCGTCTGGCTTTGGAGCAATTGCTACAACAGAAAGGGGAAACGGAAGATGGCCATTTGCTCCTGAAATCAGTGTATCTGCTCTCACAGACTGACATGGTAAGAGAAATTACTACAAAGGGTTTTTTGTTTTGTTTTGTCTTGTTTAGTTTTCTTCCTTTTTATTTCAGAGAAGATGGGCAGCTGCCCCAACAGTGGAACCACCTGAGTCTCATGTTTGCTTTATCCTCAATGCTTTATGCTTCAGCATGCCCAGGGTATACAGTCAGATAGAACACACACCAGCAAGTTTATAGTTAAGGCTTTTCTAAAAGAAGGAAGTAAGTGCTCTGTGCTTTCAGATAGCTTTTTTGTTTTGGCAATCAGGAAGCTGTTTTTTCTCGTGTTCCTCTAATTTATCTTTTTTTTTTTTCCATTGTGTATCGTGGCTCTTCAACCTTTCTTTGTCACTCTAGCTTACATATCAAAAAGATGACTAGTAAGGATCTGTCTGTCTAGTAATGCAGTGGTTGGATTTTCCACCCTGATAGCCTCTCATTTTGAAGAATTTGAAGGCATTTCACAGACTCTACTTGTACATCCATCCTGAATGCAGGCTGGCATCAGCAGTACAGCCTGCCGATGAGCATCAGGGGGTGCGTTTATTCCTGACATTGAGCTGAGCAGTTTCTCATCCTTATTCAGGTACATGGAAGTGAAATCTTATGGTCACCTTCTAGCGGGCATGTTCTGTGTCATAAGAAGCTCTATAAAACTATATACAGTTAGTCACACATGAAGTTTCTAGTGAGGTTTGTGTTTTCTACAAATTTAAGACATTGCTATTTTTTGTAGCATACACACTCACAAAACTTCATATCATAAACTTCACTCTTGTGTTTAATTTGTTGCTGATTTTTGTTTTGATTATTGCATGCCAAGCAGACACACTGGAACTTCTCTGTAAGTTGTAGACAGCCATAGTGAAGATGGGAAGAAACTAAGTGATGAGAAACGTTGTGGAGAAACAGTGTCTCTTGCATTTGTAAAAGCTATAATTATAAGTGTGTGCAGTTATTGAATATGTTACAAAAGCAAAGACGTTATAGCTAAATTGCTGCTATGCTGGGTCAAGGAGGGAACGGAAAACTCATGTTTTTAGCATACCAAGCCTCTTTAGCTGCAGGATGTCCTGTGAACTAATTATAAAGGGGCACTATCTGCCCCTGGCCCTACTGCTATTTTAGCTGCTAGTTTACAGGTTGTGTGCTTTATTGACTGTAGGTCTCCTTATGCAGGACCCAGTATGTATCTCTGTCAAAGCTGTAGTTCATTTGGAGTGATGGGAACAACTAGGGCAACACACAGTCAGTGTGTTTACTTCTGCCAAGTGGATTTGTACAGCCATGCTAATACTATATGATTACCATGCTTGTGTGCCCTAGAGCACTTGTAAGGATAAAATGCTCAAGTAGCTCTTTCATCTGCCATGACTACACTCAGTATGTAGAAACACAAGGAAACTGTGGTCATCTTCTAGGGGGGCTGATTTTTATTTTCCTTACTTAGAGAACTATGTGGAACATCATTGGATCTGGCCTTCCAGCTGCTCTGATGCAGTGCCTGTACCTTTTCTTTACTTTTCCTCTGAAGAAAACCAGTGATGATGAAAAGACAAGTGAGGATGACACTCAAACTCAGGAAATGCTTGTTAAGGTGAGATGCACCTGTGGGAGTTAATTTTCACTTGGACTTTTAGCTGGTGATTGATTCAAACTGCCGGAAAAAGAAGTAAATTTGGACTGAAAACCATTGTTTTATAGTGCTCCTGATGCTTGTTCAATCTAAGATGGTGCCTCTATATCTCTTATTTTTTTTTGTTACACAAAACAGCATGACTTTGTAAGTGGGGAAAAAAAAAAATCCGTTGAGAATATTCTAGGGATAGTTTTATTTGTTTGTTTCACTGCATCCTTTCTCCTAGCAATTAGTATCAAACTATAACCCCCTTCCCAATAGATTTTTTTTGAACTCCCAGATATTTCTAGAGGTGTATATTGTATCTGATGTTTGTTTACTTTTCAGATAATGATTAACATGTACAGAGAGGAACAAGGTGTAGAGGAACTTCTGGCAGCTGATAAGCTTCAGTCATTAATTATAGCAACTGCTTCGCTCTGGGACCAGTGTAGCCACTCATGGAAAGTACCTGCAGGCCGTGTGCTGAGAACAATTTCAAAGGCTCAGACGAAAAACAGCATTGTGTACCTACAAGGTTTGGTTTAGTAATTTGGCTTCTCTTTTCTTCATAACTCCACTGGGAATGAATCCTCAAGAGTCGTCTCCCTGGGATAGATTTTTATCTCTACATCATCTGGTAGTCAGTCAACTGCAAAGCATGGGCACTTGGCTTTCTAGACAGCAGCTTTATTTAGTACTGATAGCCATCGGGAAACTGAAGTTTTTTCTATGCAAAAAATAAAATTACAGGCAAGAGCAAATCCTGCTTGATCACACTAATGTAGGCAAAGACAAGATGTATTACATTTTTTTTTTTTAAGTTATATGACTCAATGTGTGAGCCTAAGGGTTGTGGACTCTCTAAATACAAGGTTGAGGGCACTGCCAGAGGAACAGTATCTTTTGGGGCAACATCATGATTGCTTGAGTTACTTTCTTGTTTCTTCCTAGGCTTTATTAGAGTAAGCAGTTATTTTTGTTACTAGGAAGTGCAAAGGCCATGAGTCTGAATTTATTAGAAGAAAAAAAAAGTTTTATAATCCACACTTTACTGTCAGTATTCCTTGTCATGGTGTAACTGCATATAGGTATTTTTATTTTTTAAAATATAAATTTCATTTCCTGGCTAAGATTGAAAGGCACAGAAAAAATAGTTCTAAGAGTACTGAACTGTTTAGACATTTTGAAGCTGTCCTGGAAGGACTGGCCATCAGATTAGACAAGAAAACTAGGCTTCATTGCTCAGAGCAAGATGTGTATATCCCGTTACATATGCCTCATTGAGCAAAGAATTAATCTGTGAACTCTGCACAGAATGTGTGATTGACTTACTACAGGACAATTAAATATGTCAGCCTCCGCTTACCTAGTACTCAGTCCGCTGGACTCTCTGTATATGAATTTTGATAAGTGGAGTGGGTTGGAAGTTTGTACTCCTGAGACTGAATTAATTTCTGGGGCTTAAGCAAAGAAATTCATGCTTACTTTAAAAACAGAAATGTTCTTCCTGTAGCCTCTGAGATGAGTGTGATGTTCATATATCCTCTTGTCTTTTCTTTCGAGAAAAAGAATTAACTGACTCATATTTTAGTGGAAAATAACTTTTCAAACGTGTAATTCAATTTTTGTTAATAACTTTGAACTTGTTTAACTGTCAGTTCTTAAATACCCGCCTCTTTTTTTTTTCCACACAGCTGTGGACTGCATTAAAATAGCTATTCAGAATCTTTTTAAACTGACTGATACTCTACCTGCTTGTGATGTGTGTGAAGCTGCTAGTATTGTCTTGTGCTTTGTGAAAGATTCCTATCCCATATCATCAGCTTTATTAACAGAGTTTGAAAATAATGATGGCTATCAACTCCTGCTAAAAATTTTACTCAGGTAAGTAGCAAGGTTTTTAGTGGGCTTCTACAGGATAGTAAAACTTCTTTCTCAGAACTCATGGTGGTCTATTTTAAAATATGAATCATGTAGGTAATCCTGTGTGGATGCAAAGCCAGTAATAAAGACCTCAAATGTTGGGTCTTTCATTGTTGTTTTAGGAAGGGAAGTAGTACATAACTTTTACTATTGAAACCATAACAGAAATTAATGGTAGGAGAAGTTAGTCTACAGATGGAATAGGGACTTACTGAACACAAGACAGAGGTTTTTCATCAATTAGTATTAAAGGGAATGTAGGTCTGAGATATTTGTCTCAGTTAAGGTGAACTCTTGATCCATGAATGCAGTCAGCTGGGGAGGGAAAGCTGATCTCCTTGCTGTGTAGAAAACAAACTCACCCAAACTTGTATCTGAAATGGTTACATTCTTCAGAAATGAGATTAATATGAACATATCAGGACAAATCCCCTCTACATCCCCCAATCAAAAGTGCAAAGTAGAATCTTTTAGTCTCCTTGTCTCCTTGCATTGTCTAACCAGGGTCTGAGTTGGCTAAGTCAAAACAGTACGGTAGACCACTTCCTCAGAAGCACTTAGGAATCTTTCATAGATTCATAGATTTCTAGGTTGGAAAAGACCTTAGAGATCATCGAGTCCAACCATCCCTAATCCCCATTAAACCATATCCTCAAGTAGCTCATCCACCCTATTCTTAAACACATCCAGGGATGGGGACTCAACCACCTCCCTGGGCAGCCTTGTTTGGGTTTTCTCTAATATTGTATCAAGAGAGCATTTCCAGATCTTCTCAATCTATTGTTGTTTCTGGCTTTGCCTTTTCTTGTACTTCTCAAACATTTGCAAGAACTTTAGTCCCTCACCAGTGTATTAGACTGAGAGGGAGTGTTTTGTAATTTGTATCTAGAGGATTGTAATTTGAATCGTGAATCCAAAGATACCTGTAGGTGAGTGTGATTTCTGATGATTTTTGAATGGCACAAAATTATTAACCTACAGTTGAAAATGTTTTTTCTTTTTCTGGCAGTGTTTTCTTTAGTTACCATAGATTGTCTAGCTTTCCCTTATACATCTCAACACAGCTTATTTACATTTCTGATGAAATTCTATCCATATAAGGGCAGAAACACCTGATCTTTATCAGTAAGGGCTATGACTGCCTCTGCCGTTTTTAACTGATGTAACTAGGCTAGAGAGACAGAAATAACATACAGGTGCTCAGGGTGTCAAATTAGTCTCCCGTCCCAGCATATACTGGCAGAAAGGACAGACAGAGAGCTGCTTTCCTGAACATTTTGTGTGACCAGGTTTCCTATTCTCTGATGTTTGGAATCTCTTTTTCAAGTAGAAAGAATATTGCTCATAGCATTCTTTCAGGCCAAAGCGGATATTAGCCTTTGCCCTAAACGCTTTTTCTTCCTTGTTTAGATTAAAACAGAACATGTTTGGTTTTATTTTCTTCTGAGATTTTCCTATCTTCCAGTATCAATCTATTGCTCTGCCACTAACCCATGCCCAGATGCTGCAGTTTTCCTTAAGAATTGACCCCTCTAAGCAGTGCAGAATAGGACGACGTGATAAGCAGCTCTCTTTCCTTTGACAGACTCCGTGTTTCAATCTAAATTAACCTGAGTTACAGTTCAAATTATTTCTTCACATAGGAGACATGCCATTTTTATGTCTGATTCACAAAGCTCAGGCAATAGAAAACTCTTCCCTTCCGAAGGGCTGATATTTTTCTGTTTTTGTCTCAGTTAGCAAGTCCCTTACCTTGCCAACCATACGCCTACCTTTTAATGTGAACTGCCTGTTTTAATTTTCTGATCTCTCACAAATTTTAAATTTTTGCTCCCCAAAACAGGCATTATTGTGGACAGAATTACTTTTTTTTTTAAAAAAAAGTGCACATAACTGGATTAAATTCCAATGTTTGTCTTCCTTTTCTTCAGAAGAATCTTAGTGTTGCTTTAGTTTGTAAGTTTTGTTCTGATTCAGGATGTGCCACCATGGTGTGGAGTTACTGTTTCTAAGACAGTTAAACAAGTCATAGAAATAAGGTAAGACAGTAAAATAGGCTGAGGAGGAGTGGAGAGTAAAATGGGTAGCTCCTGTGTGCTCAGTACCTGGTGATACATCAAAAATGCTTGTATTACTAAGATATGAATATATGACTGTCCCAAGTTTTGTTCCTAGATGTGAGGGGTTGCAGCAAAATGGAGACCCTTATCTGGATGAGATCTTGGACATGCTGACGTGCCTTACAACCTGCGGAAAAAATGAACTGAAAGTTTCTGGCAATATTGTACACCCGCAATTACCGCACTTCAATTTTGAACAGACACGGTCTTCTGGTACAGTATATATATATGTGGCTATGTAGGTGGGTCATAGAAAAATGAAGCTCTACTCATTATGTGTCTTAAGATGGAGAAAGGAGTATGAGACATGATCTTCTGATCTATGTGCTTAATGCTGCAGTAGCCCGAATGCTACCTACATCAAACTGAACTGACCATGTCAGCTGTAGAGTCTGATCCAAGGTTGAGAACATGCCTCCCAATCACATCTCTCATGTCTGTGACTCCTATTTCTACTCTGACACGATTTAACATATTTATGATGCTTGCGGTCCTAAATAGCATTGATGTAAAAATGATCTCACCTGGTTTTATTCCACAGGAATGACAGTGAAAAACCTCCAGGCCTTTCAGGTGTTGCAGTCTGTTTTCCAGAAAAGTAATGATCAGCACCTGTGCAGAAGAATCTTGGGAGCAATTGGCACCATATGGGCCTGGGACACAGTCAACTTCTTTCTTCTGGAATGGACACTACAACCTATCAACCAGTTTACTGACATAATCAATTTCAAACCACACCCAGTCCAAGTCCAGTTCTTTAGACTGGTGGAGTCTATAGTGCTAGACCTATCCTATGTGCCCCATGAAATTTTGAAGAAGGTTCAGTATTTGATAAAGGAAAACGTAGTGCCATTTTGCACCTTAACAGCTCTCAGGTGCCTTCTCAGCATGACCAAGAAGGACCTGTTATTCAGCGACATATTCCGTGACTCTGGGCTCTTAGGGCTACTGCTGGCACATTTGAGGAAGCAAGCCAAGATCCTGAGGAAGTCAGGTACAACTTAATGTGATTCAAAATGACTGTTGAAGTAGTCAGATCAAGAGGAATGAATGAATCTCTTTCTACAGTCAATTTGTAAATTTTATATACTGAGTAGCTAGATTTTGTCTGCAAGCCAACTGGCCTAAGTTTATGACATGCTAAACTGGGTCCTGTCTGAAATCTTAGCTGCTTATCGTTCTATTCACTAGCCTAAACAGTTCTGGGCTATTCTTCACCAGTATACGATGAGTTGTTCTGGAGGGTACCATTCAGCTTCCACTTTTAAATAGGTCTAAATTTGGGGTTCTCTAGGATGCTGGCTTAAGAGTAAAGGAAGAAAGAGTTTTCCACAGTGCTTAGTTCCTCTGAAAATAACACTTAATCCTGAAGACTGATGATGGAAAGCACTTTCTTGAATTTTGGCCATATATTACCCACAATTACTACCATCCATTATCATCTGTTATAATTGTCTCCTATCCTGAAAACAAGAAGGTGTTCTGGTGCGGTAACTGTGGGGTACAGCTGACTTAGGGGACAGACTTACGTATTTAAAAGTTTATAACTGCTATTTTAAAGAAAGAAAAATGCATGATAACATTTTCTGTGCCCTATAAACTGGGAAATGGCTTTAAATTCCAGTGCAATAGTCATATAGTAAAGGAGGAGAGACCCAAAGTACCAGGTATAACTTCTGATGCAGCAAGAACAATTGAGTTATTTATGTACATAGATTCCAAGCAACAGAAGGAATATGAATTGCAACAGAAATTCTGGAGTGCAGACATCTGTTACCTGCAAAGACACTGAGGTTTACGTTTTTGGTATCAGAGAAATAGGGTTTTGTACAAGAGTACTTAGCTAATGATTGTCAAGATAAATACCAAGGTACTTGAAAACTTACCTACTGTTTATCAGCTGGTTCACAGGGTCTTTCTTCTGTCTTTGCATTAATTTCACTGCTTTAGATCACTTAGTGATATAAATTTTATAGAATGAGTAATCGAATGGCTATGTAATTTGTAAATTTAGACACACAGTTGAAGAGGGATAGGTGGGAAGACACTGTGTGAAGTGATCACTAATTCCCTCTTTTGGTTTCTGGAAATCTAGCCTGAAAATTTCAAGACTTTTAAATCTAAAAATACCCTACGTTACACTGTCTGGTCCTGGAAATGTTTGCCTTTAAACATACAGTGTGTTTCTGCTCTACACTTCTAGTTTAAGTATTTTAAGTACTCCCTGCTGCTATAATATTTTACCACTTCATAGCTCATAATGTATAATGTTCTTTTATTTGTGTGCATTCCTGCCAGGTATCACTAAACAGGTAACTCTACATCAGTTGGGAAGTGGAAACACTGCTATTACCAGTATTTCTTATAGTTATGCAGGAGATCTGGGCTGCAAAACATAGAATCAGACCTGTGTTTCCCGATCCCAGACTAGACTGTGATGACTAAACAATGCCCTGTCTATATTTTGTTGCTTATTTTAGGGTTCAAGTAGCCTGTAAGTAATATCTGAGAGAACTATAATTTGCTGGAGAACTGGGTTTCCTTTGTGGTTTAATAGTTTAGCTACAGTTAACCATGTCTTGTATGAATTGTATTATGACTTTTAATTTACTGACAGCTGGAACTCATCTGCCTGGTCTGGAAGAAGGCACTGAGAAGGAATTAAATGCTGTGATGCTGAAGATGGTGGCTGCCCTTACAGTGGGGTCTGTGAGGAACGCTGGTAAGAAATTACATACAACTGCATTACCTTTGTGATATTTGGCGGTAAGTGGCCATGATAAGTCTTAAGGAGCGCTAACAAGTTTTCTGACTTTCATGCTTCAGTGAGAAATGAAGGACAAGAGCTAGAATTGTAGAGACAACAGTGCTACACCAGGAAGAAATGTGGCGAAGATATTCTCATCCTGCATAACAAGCCTTATCCCAGTAGCCACCTCCCTTCCCTCATCCATATGGATATTCCTGAAGTGTTTACATAGAAAACAAACTTAACCTTGTGGAAAACAAAATTATGTGTGTGCGTTTTATGTATTGTTTGTTCATGCAGATTTTCTTCTCTGGTATCTATTATTTGAAATCTTGATGGGATCAGACGCGTGTTGAGTAACATTCATACATTTAATATTGGCATATCTAAGAGGTGTATGTGTGGGAAATCTTGTGGAACATAGTAATGTAGAAGTGAACTCTTCTGAATTCTGGAATCCACTCATTTAATTCGCTAGAATCATCATGTTTGCAGCATCTTACACAGTGCAAATCTATTGTCACAAACTATCGAACACTCCTCTTCAACTAAAGAAATGTTTAAGCTGAAAACTAATAAGGCATCTTTTTCTTTTCATTCATTATTGCATTGGGAAGCTGTCATCTCTGATGATTAGAAACCATGGTTGTCCAGTCATTTTATTCCAGGTTGTACTTGTGCTGTTCAGTTTGTCATCTTCAGCTTAACCAGCTCTTCTTGCCTCACCTGCTGTATTTGTAGAAATGTGTCACTTCACGCCAACACTGAAAATCTGCCTGTGAAAACTGCAAGTAAAGGATAGTTTAAGTAATGAATGATACCATATTTGTTCCCAGTTGTTCTGAAGGACTATGGAATGGTGCCATATATCAAGATCTTTCTGGATGAGGAGTGCTACAGGAGTGCTACTCTCAGCATCTTGGAGCAGCTATCAGTCATCAACTATGAAGAATATATGAGCATTATTATTGGGGCCCTCTGTTCTTCTACTCAAGGAGAGTTACATCTGAAACTAGATCTGCTGAAGGTAATCATTGCGACACTTGGTTGCTGTTTTCTTGGAAACTGCTTGGCTTGTAGCAAATTGCTCTTAATCTCACCCCTAGCACTGTATTTTTTCCAAGAAGGCAAGTGCAAAAGAAAAAAGAGCCATGAAGCAGTTTTTGATTCTGGTAAATTGGGCACTTTGATTTTTAGCAATGTGTGTGTGGTCTACACCTTCACTCAGTATCAGATTGTGAAGTATTTTGAAGACTTAAATAGTAATGCAGGATGGAGAAATGGAAATAAAGGGCACAGTTATATGAGCAGTTCTGTGTAGACTGACAGAGAAAGGAGAAAATGTGAATAAAAGTGGAGGAGATGTGGGGGGAGCATGTTAGAAGAGGTAAAGGAGTAAGACTGGAAGGAGCAGAAGAGTCATGAGATGAACAGCTTGATTTCTGATAAGTTTCCAAGGTTGAAACTTTGTCCTTGATTTTGTCATCTCACACATAAGCCAGTGTCATAGAAAAAGAGATAAGAGATGATAGAAAAGAAGAGTCTTATGAATGTTTAGAGCTATTAGCCTCTGTTGTATTTATTGAAGGTCTGATCCATAAGAAATGAAGCAGGGGAAATAATCAGTGTGCTTCAGGCATCAAAATGAAAAGCAGCCATGTTGTAAGCACTGATTTAGTTTCATTCTACCTTCTCTTCCAACTGTGAACTGAATTCACCTTTCAGAATGATATATCACCTATTTCTGTGATAAAAGAACCATGTTACTTTAAAAAACTAAAAATGTGACAAAGCTTATAGCCTTGATTTGAAACAGTGAACTTTAACAGTATTTGTGGAGAAGTTGAGTATGGTGTCCAAACTAATATGAAAATAAATGCAGCTTCAGTGTCTAATTTTGACAAATCATAACTGTATTAAAGCATAATGTAAGCAAATGAATTTATTATTTACATCCATTGGGACTGTGATTGTGTTACACACAAATTCAGATTGATTTGCTAATATATATTTAGCTGTTAAAGCCTGAGCCCAAATGCAATTAGCACTGCCGTATTCCAGCGTGGCACGTGGACAATTATGAGGAATAACAAATAATGGAATGTGAAATAAATTCTGTTAATGTTAACTGAGTTAGGGGGTTTCCAGCATACATCAGTTTTATAGATTCAAGACAGAGGCATACTAACTCATAGGCGATTAAATTCTAACTTAGTTAGAGCTGGAGGAAATGTGGTTATTGTTGACCTTCTCTGAAATGTGTTAAAGCCATCCTGATAACTTCAACTCTGAGTTATTAAATTTACTCCCTGTTCAGAAGTCTCTGACTGGTTTGATACATTATCATATGAAATTGAATGACAGTAATAGAGCCCCCCCCTCCAGTTCTGGTAACCCTTTCTCACAGTCCTAGATCCTGTTACAGGGAAATATGTTAGAAACTGTTCCTCTTCAGCAGCTTGTGCAGTGATCTGAGGGCTGGAGAACCTCTCCTATGAAGACAGGCTGAGAGAGTTGGGACTGTTCAGCCTGGAGAAGAGAAGGCTCCAGGGTGATCTTATTGCAGCCTTCCAGTACTTATAGGGGGCCTATAGGAAAGCTGGAGAGGGACTTTTCACAAGGGCATGTAGTGATAAGACAAGGAGTAATGGCTTTAAACTCAAAGAGGGCAGATTTAGATTAGATATAAGGAAGAAATTTTTCACTCAGAGGGTGATGAGGCACTGGAACAGGTTGCTCAGAGAAGTTGTGGCTGGGCCCGCCCCGGGAGGGGTTCAAGGCAGGGATGAGGCTTTGGGCAACCTGGTGTAGTGGAGGGTTTCCTTGCCCACGGCAGGGGGGTTGGAACTAGATGATCTTTGAGGTTCCTTTCAACCCTAACTATTCTATGATTCTATATCTGTTGGGAAACTTTGTAAGATTAGTCCTTTCCAATGTGAAAAGGTACAGTGTCAAATTTGAAAGGTCCCTGGTGCCTAAAAGAGCATCATATTTACGAAATGAATTGTGCAACATCCCAAAAACCTGGGATGGATTCAAATACAGTAGACCGTTACCTTGCAAGCTTTTCTCCTCACTAATTTTACTTCCACTTTTACAACTCTTAGTAACTTTTCTAGATTTGTTTTAAAATGACAATACCATAACATTCAAAATTTACAAGTGGTATAGGTTGGGTTTTATGCATGTGTAATATTGTCAAATGACATTCACTTATAACCTGCTTTAAGCCCATTGAAGTTAGAGGAGGTGTAATGACTTCGTTATCTTAGGATTTGACTCTGTACGGCTTTTTTCCTCCAAAGTGTTGTGCAAACTTTAAAAATACCTCTGTTGAGAAAGGGAATTATTATTGCTTTTCTTCATGAGGAGAGCCTGCTGCTTACAGTATTCTTTGGGCTGTCCTGTGTCACTGCTTTTTTGGCAAGAGTCTACTCAGTCATATGAGCAAAAGTCTAGTGTGGCTCCTTGTGTATTCAGGGCTGTAGGAAGACTTGCCTATAGAGAGCTGTGCCTTCCTCTCCATTTCTGTATGAGGTTATTTACAATTGAATCTCTACTTTCATTTATTTAGGGCAGAGGCAGATTTCTTGAGAGAGTCTGAGAAGACTGGTGAAAAAATAGCCAAAGGTCTGAAACTATCTCTGGCCAAACTGGCTAGGATATGTAATGGCAGAAAATTTGTTTTCTTTGCTTATTTCTATGAGCACTATTCCCTACCTGTCAGGCTGACTTCATGGGTTGCTCCTGAGGATGCATTCAAATCTTGGTGGTTTGACTTACTGGGTATATGGGGGAAGGGAGGAGAAGAAAAGTTGTGCAGTGGTGACCTTTAATCAACTTTTTTCTTCAAAGAGTGCAATGTCAATGAAAAAATTTTGGTAAAAACTTGGAAATTTAAAATACTCTAAAGCTTCTTTGTCCCTTGGTTTAAGTGCTTCTCTTGTCTTTTTTCTTCCCAATGTTTATAGTCACTCCTGAGGATACTGGAGAGTCCCAAGAGCCATTCAGCTTTCAGAACCTGCAGTGGATTCAATGGACTCTTATCCCTTCTCTCAGACATGGAAGGTGCATTGCAGGATCCTCCATCTGGGCTGTGGGCAGCAGTTGGACAGAACTGCATATTGGAGCTTGTTTTCTACACGCTTCAGGGGATAACAGCAGCCCTGCACCTGGACCCTGTTAACAGCAACTTCTTCCAGAGGAACGGTCTGTTTGAGAAGATGGCAGAGGATCTTGAGTCACTTGGATGTTTCTGGACACAAGGGGAACGGCAAATCCCTCTGAGCCTTGAGAAGACAAGGACATTTGCAGAATTCTTGGATGCAGCTTTCTGCTCTTCTGAACCTTTTCCAATGTGGCTAAAGAACTGCATATGGATTCTGAATTTTCTTGATCATATGGTCAAAGGAACCCTCCATCTAGAGAGCTACTTTAAGGAGAGAAAGCCAGAGATGGGAGAGGCATCAAGAGATGATCAGGAGGGACCCCAAGGTCAAGAAGAAAGACCAGGCAACAAATTACCTATCTCTGCCTATAGGCTATGGGGGAGTCCTGAAGAGAAGTAAGTCTTTACTACAGGAAATACAATAGTAAGACTGGTATCTGCTCTTTATGTGGTAGTAAATTGAGGTAAGGTGTGATGTAACCTGTCTAGAACAAAAAAATCAGTGCCTCAGTCCCAACTCCCAGGCCTCCAGACAGCAGAAATCACCTCTTTTTGAAAAGTAAATGATGGGAAACGTTGGGGCATAAGTGTTCAGTGGAGCAGTGGGACACACAACCCTGAGAGTTACAGAGTTTGTGCTCAAATTTCTGCGGCATGCAGTGGGGGAGCAGGACTGAGCTCTAAGGAAAAGGGTTGTTGGGACTTGAAACCCACATTTAGTCTCTGCTTGCATGTGCCCTGGTCAATTTTTACTTTCTCAATTATGTGGAAAGCTGTTTCCAGTCACCTGATACATTAAAAATAAAAACTATTTTAGGTTATTTTAAGTGGTCCCCATGCATGTGTGTCCAGGTACATGTGTACAAACACACACTTTCATTTACTCATATAGCAGAAATAGAGAAAAATGGAAAAGGACTAGTAATACTGTCTGCCTCCTATAATGAAGGATTATATGAAAATATATATCCTTTGCAGGAAGGAAAGACTACACCAGAAATCAGCAAAGCTGTCAGCTGTGAATCAAGTATGTGTGTAAAAGAGGCTCAGGGAGGTTAAGAGAGAGTTAGATCAGTGGCAGTGCTCGGATATGACTCTGTCTTCTGCTTGTCTTTCTCAAGTTACTGGATCTGAAGCATAAAGCAAGGCTTCCTAGGTCCTTGTGCTGTGTTACCTGCTGAGCTGTGAGGCTATGCAGTAGCTGAAAGAATACTGCTTGTGGAGGAGTTAATAATGTAAATTGGGATCCATTCAGTTCACTATGTCTGGTTTGGGACAGTTTGGCTTTGGTTCTGGCATGTGAAGGCACAAAAGGAAGCCAGGTTAGCTAGAGGTGTCTGGAGCGTGTCCAGGACAAGCATATGCAAACACAGCAGAGGAACATTTACTGGGAAACTGTCAATCTTCAGGCCACACAGTCTATATCCTTTTCCAGCAGTAAATTTTCTGAAAATAAAAATAAGAAATCAAGTTCCCAGAGTTCCTGCAAGCTTCTGGTTCCCCTGATGCAGCTTCCTCTTAGCTGTACTCCATACTCACACTTCCTCCTGAAGAAGGCTTCACCATGGGGCTATGCAGCTTGAAAGGAGGAACCTGAGTGCAGCTGGTGTAAGTGGCTTGTGATGCCTCATCCTGCAACATGTATTTAACATCCTCGAACAGGGGGAAAGGTGATCCCACAGGACCCTATGACTGAGACACAGGAAAATCCTTTTAACTGGATACTACTCTAGTCCCTTACACTATTCTGTGGTCAATGGTGCTGCAAGCTATTGGGCCACAGGGGAAGTGACCCTTTCATTCTCATACGAAAAACAGCCCTCCATGTTCCTGCTCCTGTGTTAATGTTTGAGATACCTTCTGTGACAGATGGGATCTCTGTCTTTCCTTTCACTCCTGGTGATTAGAGATAGCTTGCTGCAAGCTGTGTTAACTGAGGCTGATCTCTCTTTGGGAGGGAAGTCCCTCTTGGTGCCCACTCTAGCAGAATGGCTGCTGTTACCACAGACTCACTGTGCTAATGGGTCTTCAGGTTCTTTGTGGCATCTCGTTTTGTCCCCAAACCCTCTTAAGTGTATTGTTTTCAAGTAGAAGCCAGTGCAGAGCAGATTTGGGATTCACATCATGATACTGGTGGGGTAGATGGAGTGGAATCAGGGGGCTGAGTGGATAGCCCTGAGGCAGGAGTGCAAGAGGTGAGACACTTGCAGGAGTGAAGAGCTGGTACATGGATACAGCTTTTGTACTAAGACAAGCCAGAAAATGAGGGTCTCTTGGAAAACCACAGAGAAGACTGGAGATAAGGCTTATATGATATTCCTAGAGGAGTATGAGTGTGCAGTGCTGGCAGGGAAGTTGAGATGTAGTTTGATGCTTGTCAGGGACTCCGGATTTTCCTTCTTTGTTTTTCCTTTTTAACAGCCCTGGAGAGTTCTAAACCTGCCAGGCAGTGCTCAAAAATAAAAAAACATCATCTTATAATTATGGCAATATCTTAACCATTTTGTGATTTTATTTTTTTAAAGGATCACTTTCTGTTATTTTCTTCTGATATTTACATTTTGTTAGCTCACATTTTTCCTTTAGTACATGTCTTATGGGTTATAAAAAAATTCTCTGTATGAAAGGAAAACTTTGAGGTTCTTTCTCAAAGAAAGAACCATATTTCTTCAGTGCCCAAGTCTTTAGGAAGACTGCTATGTGTAAGGAGAACTGGACCCACTGCCTGGTAATGTAATTTTACAGTGCTAGAGATGGAAGTTTGAACTGAATTAAAAGTTCGGGAAGTCAGTTCTTGAATAGAGTGGCTTAGGCTAAAAATGGTCTTGCCCTGGGAAGCACAGCCATAGTAGAACAGACTGAAATTTTGATCTTACTGATTCTAGTGTTGATTAGGGCTTTTGGGGGGAGATAAGAGGAGAGTATATTTTCAGTGTGTACTTTTTTCTTGTTTGACACTTTAAAAACTCACCCATACTCATGTCATAGTCACAGGTGTATGTGTCCACACTGGAGCCACTGCTGCAATAAGTATTTATGCCCCATCTGATTTCGATTCATTACACAGGAAGTATTGCAAATAAGCAATTTCTTTCAAGTATCTTTTTTTGAGGGTGCATTAAGAACTATTTGCCACTATGTGGCAGTGTTCTCTACCTTACTTGCTGCTCTGATGCATCAGAGGAGCCTGTTTCGAAGTGGCTGACGTTTACAGCCTTTTTACCCTCCTTTAGGTCCTTCTTAAAAGTTTGGTTTTATGCTCACTCTTTTACTTGTACCCTTTGTTTTATACAGTCCATAAAGCATACTGTGCTTTATTTTTTTCAGTCTAATTATGGCTGTTAGATGTTGCCTTTGCTTTTCTCACGAGATGTATTTGGAACAGATGTTTCTGATCGTAACACTGGTTCGGAGATGTACCCAGAAATGCTGATTATACTATGAACATGACGAGCCTGCAGTGCCTAAACTAGAGTTACTGCTATGCTGTGGCTTCATGTCAGATATATATCCGACCTCTAGCCTGCATCATGGCATAAGCAGATCTTCTCTGTGGTAACTCTGATGCTTGAAAAGAGAAAATACAACATTAGTTCTGAGCCGATGAATCGGAGAGATCCCTCTGGTTGTCTGTTCTCTGTACTGCAAGTACCTTCAAAGGCAAAGTTTGTTTCAAGAGGCTGCTGCACGTCTTTGAATGTGCAGGTCCCTGAAATGTGAGCTCATGAGCAGGTTATGTCCTGCCTTTGTTACTCTAAGGAGACTTCCAGCTGTTTCAGGTGGCTAGTGTTGTTTCAAATGCTGAGCCTGGTTGCTGCTAGGAGGATTTAATGCTGTACTCTGCTGGAACATTGTTGGACCATCTTTGCTGTTGTTAGTGATAATTATGATGTCTTATGCATCTTTTTCCTACAGGTGGGAAAAGAGAGACTGTGTCATTGTACATCCAGGTGCTGTCTGTGTTATGGTGAGGTTGCTGCCAAAGCTGTACAAAGAGGGACATTCTCAGGTGAGTCTGAACATATCAAAATGCCATCTAAACAGCGTCTGCTACTTTTCTGTAGCTTTATGTCCAAGAATTTGCAGATGCGGAAGTAGTAAAATTTACCTAGAACACTGGCAGGAGGAACAGTACAAATTTTGCTGACTCAACAGATACAAGAACAACAAAGGCTCTCTGGCTGTCAGTTTGCTGAAGTGTTTCTATACCTGTCTGATGCAATGCATAGATCTTGGTCCCAGAATACTTACTGCAAAGGCACAAGTTTAAAAGTCCCTGGAAAATTGTCCAAAATATTGCTAATGGACGTAGCAACCAGAACAGTCTGTCTGGTTCTTTAGGCCTAACAATCCATAAACTTTCAATGCAGCTTAGAATCTGCTTTGCTTTGTCAAACTTTTGATACACACGCCCACTCTAAATAAGTATGTTGCCTATATTGTATCTGCTATCTGGTCTAAAATACTTGAATATAGTTAAAGTACATACGGAGGGATTGAAATAAAACCAGATTGATCTTCCAGAGCTAGGGAAGATGGGAGTGTAACTAACTGCTGGCACATCTCAAGTCTGTGTAGCGGAACCAAGCCAGCAGCTAGTGAAATTTTGTTAATTACAGTAATTAATTCTGAAAAACAAGTGGAACGGTTGATTGGATGAGAGAGAGTGTCATTAAGAAACTATCCGAGCTGGCTCTAGGACTGAGCTATATGAGAGAGAAAGCTTCTTGGACCCTCGGTAGATGGCAGTGTTTTTAAAAATATGAAGGGCTAGAGCACAAATTCCAGCGATTTCAGTTATGTAAGTGTGTTTGTCTTTTCTTCCTTTCTCACTCCTGCTTCCTTAGTCAACAAGAAATTATTACTGCTAATGTTTTTTAACATTGCTCTTGTCAGTCTCTGGCAAGGAGTTGACATGCATCCTGCAGAGTTTTTCATCAAATGACCCACAAAAATGATACAGGAAAAATAGAGTTTTTCTGGCTAATTCAGTTTAAAAGTGATTGAGACAATGAGTGGAACGTCATGTCCCGTAGCTTGGGCAGCTTACTGATGCTGCCAGGTAGTGACCAAAAGGCTGGACTTCAGGACCTTTAATCATAACATATACCACTGCACGAACCCTTGTGCAATGAGATTCCACCTGGAACATGGGAGTCAGACCTGGGTGGACCTCAATGGCTAGTGAAAGGGAGCTACTTGGTAGAATAACTGAAGGAATTTCCCTTCAAATAGATATATTCTGTCCCAAACAGGGTACTGTTCTTTGTTTTAGTGCAACAGTGTTTGACAGCTATATGAGAGATCAAATAATTTCTTTGTAGATGGAGCTTTTTTACTACAGACTTTCATTCAAAAATCTGAAGTGGCTTCTTGCTCTGAGTTTAAGACTGAGTCAAACAGTACATTTTATGAGCAATGGTAAAGAACAGACAGTAACATACCTCTTTCTGCTTGTTTTAGTGCTCTGACAGATCTTTTAGGCCCAGGTGTTCAGGAGTAATCTGCAAAATTCTTTGGAATCAGTTCAGGTCATGTACAAATCCTTTGCTTTCACAGAAATGGTGATGAGAAAGCACTGCTTTTACAGAAACATTAATGGAACTCAATAAAATTAAAGTACTTTGATTCGGACCCTAAAAGACAATATCCACTTCCTGCCAAATTTGCTGCTTCTCAGTGACCTTTGTCAGACTCAAGCAGTGATGGACTGAAGCAATGTTGAGCCTGACAGCGTGGAAAGAACAGTAGCAGACAGTAAAACAGGTGATCTTGCACTTCAACCATTTCTTCTCACTGTCTAGAATAACAATTAAAAGCTGAGGAGAATAGATTTGTGTTTGTATATTACTGCCATTCCTAGGTATGATCAAAAATCAGTTGAATGTCATATGGATATGAAAATTTGCTTAAAAGCCTTAAACTACCCCAAGAGATAGTATTTGAGTCAGTAAACTGTATTTAGAGGATATTGCTCGTGTTCATGCCTAGGATTGGTACTAAGCCAGTTCTCATCAAACTGCATACAGTTTGACCAAATACAAAGTGGATTTTCCTTTTATTAATATGCTGCCCATTCAGTGATAAAAGATACAATTTTCACGTTTCAAAAACTAAGTGCAAGTGAGCCAGGTTAACATCCACTTTAGATATGTGGCTCAGGATAGTCACAATTTCCTCTCAGGCATATCTCATCCTTGTCTGGTGTTTTGGAACTCTGGCTTCTCAGACTCCAGTGTCATGCCAGATCTTTTCTGTTTGCAATGTCAGATAAGGAAATCTCCTAGATCTGACAAGGCTGGGTAAGGGGAAGAAAACTTCTGAGAAGAGAATCAAAGCATGGTTCAGTTCTCTGTCATCATTCTGACGGGTTTCTTGAGAGCATGGACAAAAAAATCCTTACATGATTCATTATGTAAATTATCTGTACTTTTGTTAAATAATATTATTGCTTCCACAGCTGGATTTGCCCTCTCTATTTTTATCTATGTCTCTCCTATGATGGACTGCTGTCATATTCACTGTTGTAAAACTAAAACATTGTGCATCAATAAGGACTTTGCACCTTTTTAAAAGATCTTTATCCCTGTTTTAAATTTAGCCTAAGCTAGTTGTTTGCACTGCAGATATTAACAGCATAACACTTTCCAAGTACTTGTGCTCCTTAAAAACATAAATCCTTTATAAACCGAAAAGGTCTGTGACATGGCTAGACTGTGTGACATTCGAGATTTGTCTGCTTTCAGACATATATTACTAATACCACTGCTAATGTAACTGTTAATATCACAGTGAATTCCTACATTACTGCACTGCTTTATCTGCACGAGGAAATTCTTCGGATATTTGGTCAGAGCTTCATTATCCTTTGGGTTGTGCAGTCAAGGCTTTGGGAGAAAGGAAAGAACAGACCAGAACTCTGGTAGAAGGAAGGAGACTAGAAAAACCCTGGCAGTGGGTCCTCCAGCCTGGGCTGGTAGCTGAAGGTCAGCTCTTTCCCCTGAGCACTTTCCTGCAGGCTTTGCTCCAGCCTTGTCTCCTAGGGGATTTTTTTTTTTGCTGAGTGTGTTCGGATTACAGCACAACTTTTGTTTTTTTTAAGAGAATGCACAACCTGGCTGCATGTTCTTTTCCAAGGTTATTTCTGGGCTTTTAGTAAGAATTTTGTTTGTTCATTGATCAACCAGCTTCTGAAGTTTTCACTGTTTATACAGACCAAGCAATTTTCATCCAGTGCTTATAACCCCACAGCCTGCCCTTTTATTTGTCCTGTTTCTCTTGCTATTCACTTTCTCCTTAAAAAGCAGCCAGTGTCTCTGAAGTTGCATGAAAATCTTAGTAATGTACCCTGGATTGAAGCGATAGAAACACTGCCAAGAATCCCTGGCTAACTATACTGAAGATCATTTTCTACTTTGTCTTGTTTTTCATGCAATCGTATCATTTATAAGGTGGCACAGAGAGACAGCTTTGCCTTCTTCTCAGGTGTCTGAGGAACATCATATTATAGCACTGCACAGTAGCTTAGAAAAATGAGAAGGAGACACTGCATTCAGCTAATACTGTGGGGGAGAAAAATACTGCAGCTAAATGTAATTTGGTGAGCAAGAGGTCTGTCAGACCACCAGAATTAACAAAAGATTCTTTACGTTGTGAACAGATTTTGTTGCTTAGCTTCACATGGTCAAGATTTGCTAGTATTTTTTCTCTAGAAGGCAATAGTAGCCCAGTATTCATATAAGGAAAGCTCTGTAGCTTCTCTTACACAGAAGCTGTACCAAGGGGAAATGTGAAAAGCCTGATGGAGGTGATATAATTTATGTGAGGCTTTTAATTAGGCCCTATCTGGGTCATGTTTTTGGAAAAGTAGTAACAGTTTATTCAGTTCATAGTGCTTTTTGCCCTGTATACTTACAAGGAGTGTGTGAACTTAAGTTATTCTGTAATTCTGTAAAACCAGCTATACATACTGTCAGCAAAGTAAGTTTTGCTTGTTAAGGTCGGTGGGTGAGAATTAATCAGCAAAATATTGTGATAGAATAGGAATGTGCTGGCAACTGGCAGCTATTTATCAGGAATTTGAGCTGTGATAAATTTATGATTTTTTTTATAATATTTTAAGAAAATAGAAGTGACTCAAACTCTCTACAGACAATGGGTTTTAAGCTGATGTGTATCTACCTTTTCTTTTGAAAGCATGATGTAAAATCCTGGGTTGCTTGGAACTTTTTGAAAGTGCTACTTTCAATGCTTTGATTTCTTCATTAGTAAAACTGAATCTCTGTGGTATGTTAGGAAGTTAAATCTAATGTTTTATGAAGGGCTGCAAGCTTTTCAAGTGAGAGGTGCTCCTGAGATTGAAAAGTAAGGTTGCTTTTCACGATTACACACAGAATTATTGCTGTATTGTTCTTAAGCCTAAGAAAACTACATCCTTTTGAAATGAACCCACACTGCCAAAGTTTCAACGTTCTTGCTCATCTTAAACATAGGATAATAATTTTGCAGACGAATAACAGTGAATTAAATTCAGCTACCAAGTTTTGAAACTGTGGGCCCTTAGGAGCAAGAATCTGGGAACTATTAAACAAATTGGGCAAATTACTGGGTGACATTTTGCCCTTAAAACTCTAATCTGAGGCAGTGCTGTGAGCCCAGCTACACTCTAAATGCGCCTTCAATACCTTGATTCATGGTGCAAGCAGTATGTGTTAGGAAAATCGATCCATGCATATAGAAACTTATGGCCTGATTTCCTGGCCACCATTTATATTTCCACTAAAATGTCATTTTACTGGAACAAAGATCCATGAAAACAGCACATTTTATTCAAAACAAGGCAATACTGGTATTGACAAAGCTACTAAGCTAATGAAGACAATCAATTTTTTTGTATGCCATTATGCTTTCATTGGATTTATTTTGGAGTAAACCAGCAGTTTCACTCAGTCAAGACCTGTGTCCTCTGTTTTCATGTGATTTTATACATCCAGTTTCCTACATCCAGTCAAAACCGGAGTAAAATAGTAATTAAAAAATCCAAAAATGTTTTAACTGTGGCTTTGGTACACTGTAGCAATAAATGCATCTCTGAAGACTAGTGTAGTCCAGTCTGGTGGATGATTTCTGTGAATAATGAGATGCACAGTGAAATTTGTGTCACTGGTAATGAACAGTATTTAGAGAGAAGAAAATGTTATCGAAAGATCTTGCCCTTCAGGTATCAAAAATCGCAACTGAGTTTACAAAAACAGTATGTATGTTGCATCGAATGTGCTAGTATTATCATCTAAGTATTGCAGTTGGGGCTTTTGTTTGCTGAGTGCTTTGGAAACAAATTGCTTGTTGGCTTTGAATTTGTCCTGTACTGGTTTTGAGTTTGGTTTGAATGCAAAAGAGCTGAATTCCTCTTTACATTTAATAAGCTAGTTTACTCTGAATCTAGTGAAGTGGCTTCTCATTCATGTTATAAAATCAAATCCCAATGTCCTAATCTGCATGTCTACCATCATTGTTGTCCTTTTCTTTAAAAGTTTGCATAAATATTTCCTAGAAAAGCATATAAGAAAGTCAAAGATCTCTTGGGAGTAGGCAACATTCCATCTTTGTAATTTTTGTGTTTAAATATATGATGCACAGTTACTTTTGTGTGAAATCTACTTAGGTCAATGGAGTAGGCTCCATTCCTAATTGGGAACAAATTGTTCTAAAGATAATCTATGAGAACTGAGACACTTCTTTAAGGCCATTAAGAAGGAATAATGAAGTAAAGCTTCAATTCAACCAAACATGTAGAGATGTGTTTAAAGTTAAGTGTTTCATCATATTGCTAGATGCTGTTTTGTTTAAAAACAGTGCTTTTAGAATAAAGAGTAGATCATGTCAATATGACTCTCCACATGCTTGTTGTTAAATATATTCTGAGTTACTGTGTTAGTCTTAGAGGTTATGTCTAATAACCTACCCTTGGCGGTGGTCCCTTCTTGTGAATGGGAGACGATTGTTCACGTCCTTCACTACTACACTGTTGTGGCAGGAAAGCTCAACTGTGTGGCTGAGCAGCTACTCAGATGGATATGCACACACTATTCGAGTGCAGAGCTTTATAGAACAGCCATGCAGTTGCACTTGAGCCTCTGGCCTTAAAGGCTTCTTTTCTGGGCCAGATTTTTACACCCAGAGATTTGACAATTGCAATTGAAAAAAAAAAAAATCAATTGCCACCACATACATTTTTATTTCCAGCCCACTGACTTCACTTCTGTGTCTATCTCAGCTTTCACAGGAAATCCAATGTGCTGTGGTTGATCATATCCAGTCCCTGGTGAAGACAGAGAAGAGTCGCCAGGTGATGTGTGGATCTGGCTTGCTGAGCACCATCCTTACTTCCTGTCAGGATGCCTTCCACAATGAAAGCCATCCACTGCATCTGCCCCTCACTAGAGTATTTGAGAAGCTTGCATCACAGGCTATTGAGCCCAATGTGTTAAGGTATCAGATTGTATCTAGTGGAATCAATTTGCTGTAGTGGTGCAAATTTTTTGCAAAGCTTGTGTAACAATTGGATACTTCATGTAGTGCTCTAATTCAGCAAGGCTCTCAGTCTTTTGTTTCCAGTCTCAGTTAATGCTACTTACATACCAATCACAAGGTGTATGCTTAAATGAGTTACTGAAGATGGTATGACTCTGTAGTGTTCTGCTGCATCATCTCTGAAGGGGTTGTAAAGCCATTTATGAATAGTAACTAATTATGTAATTGCAAAATAACTAGGGTTATTCTCTCCTGGTATTCATATGGAGATGCTGTTTCCTGAAGAGTAAAAGTTACTTTCTCTTATCTTGGATCCATGTGAATGACAGATGCAGAAATAAAAGTATAGTCTTGTTTCTCAGGCTCTGTTGTTTCTACTTTGAGGATGTACTTTCTTCTTTAATGCTAACAAATGCTAGGCATGACAGTACCTAGTAGAGATCAGAGTGCAAATGAAGTGGGATATGCAGTGGAAGATTGAATTTATTTTACTCAAAAATAGAACAGAATTTCTTAAAAAAAACCCACAACCACCCCCCCTCAAAAAAAAAACCACAACCTACCATAGCATTTTTTTCTGGAAAATTAATAGTATTCAAAAGTATTGCTGAAGAAAATAAACCTTTTGATTTTTTTCAACAGGAAAACCTTGAAAGGATAAGAGTGAACCAAAACAAATATTTGTGATGATACAGTGAAAAACATTCCTTATCTTTTATTTGGGATGCCTTTAAAATTTGGTATCCAACAAGAGAGCCTGATGTCCAGAGGGCTGAACTGTATTTGAATGGTTTCTATGACTCCAGTGTCTGGCTTAATTGTTTTCCTTTTTTTGGTTGCTTTCTTCTTTATTTTTTTCTCTCTCTTTTTTTTTTTTTTTTTCCATGTTAGGCAATTTCTTTGGTTGGGAGGTTCTCTACCACTGCCTTCTAGGCCCAGCACTAACAAGACCAAGGCCCTTTCATGTCAGGGAAGTCATTCAACTAATGCAGCTTGGAATGAAGGTAAGCAAGCAATGAACAGCATGTTGCTGACACACTGGCTGCGTTATAGATGTCTCTGTAATGACAGGAAATTGCTGTTGGAGCAGGTTGCTCCAAGACCATCACAATGAAGGTGGGATATGTCTGGATGTTTTAGACTGGGTATTGCCCAGATTGGGTGGTATCTGACCAACACTGAGACATGATCTAATGACCAGCAGAGATCAAATTATAATACATGTGCTGAAGCCAGATGCTGATACAGACTCAGACTTTGCTGATCAGACATGGAAGCTATCTATAAAAATACTAATCATATTCCGCAAACCAAGGGGAGTGTCTCTTGGATTTAAAGTATGTTTTCCCTGTGGTTTATAGCTAGAAATAGAATAAAGACATGAATAAAGAGTGCTGCTTTTCGTAATCCGTAGGATATCCTAGTAGTCTGCCTTGCTTATACAGGCCATTTTCCATCTAAGTTCTTTCTCTTTTTCTAACACAATTTGCAGGTGAAAGGCTACAATAGTAGTATTGGGTGCTTAAACTATTCTTATGCCAATGAGACACGTGATACAGCATGGTGAAAATTTGAGTCATATGTTCTTTGCAGTCACTCTTCAGATCCTCTCCAACATGCTGGTTGAAACGATTCTGTTATGGCAGAATTGAGTGGTCTGTGTATAAGAAAAATGGAACCAATGAGTCAGGGACCTTTTTCACTAGAGGTGAAACTTGGAGCTGCCTGAAGATGTGTGGGGAGAAAACATAGCTGTTGCTTCTGTAAGCTCATCTCTCCTGCCAGCCTCTCATTTTAAAATTCCTTTAGTGCAATATTTTTGTGCATTACTGAGGATTTCTACAGGCTGCCGAGGACATGTTATTTGAACAGCGTGCAGACACTGATCTGGTTAGGCACTATGTTGTTCTTGTAGGTTCAGAAGAGGAAATGGACAATAAAACTGACCCTCAGATAACTGTGCCTGTCAGCAGCTCTCCTTGGGTGTCTAAGGGATCGGCATTGGCACTCCAGACTGCAATGAGTCTCATTTCCATGACATCACCTCGAAACTTCCAGCTCCACAGCACTGCTTTGGCCCCATCGTTTGTGGAGTTTGACATGGCTATGGAAGGATACGGGTATTGCTGCTGTTGCTTTTCTCTTTAGCTGCTCTGCAGTCTCCAAGCCCTTATTCTGGACACAGCAATTAATCATTTGTCTCTCCATCTTGGTCAATCGTTGTGCCCTACCACTGCCCTCCTTGCAGCAGTGTTGCCAAACTGTTTTGTTATTGTCTTATTGCTGATAGCCTAGATTCTGCCTTGCTACCATGATTCTGTGGTATTAAGTCAGTAATGACTTTCAAGGATGATTTTACTTTCCTCATGTATGGGTGTCTGCTTGCTTTTGTAGGTGTTTATACCTCCCTACCTTGGCCACTGTCATGGGACCCAGTGCAGAGCAGTCTGTCTCAGGAGGAATTGGCATGGGTAAGCACTTTGACTCACCTACAGCTTTCTGAAAGCACTGACTTTTCAGCCCCACTGAAAACATTCAACATTTGTAAGAAATGGCAGCAAATAAGCTGTGTGTTCCAATACACTTCTGTCTCTGTGTCACAATCCAACTCTGAGCTGTACAACTCAGACTGCTCACCAAAATGCAGTGTCAGATGCAGCTTAATAGTGTGATACAATATCATTAACATTAGCAATACAAACTTAAAACTGTCTTAACAAGTAAGGATTTTAGAATAATGTCCCACAGAAGAAATAGAAACTGTCACTTAACAGGAAATGAGATTCTCCTATAGATCAAAATCCTCTCTTGGGTGAACTGGGAAATACCTGCACCTTTTACTTCCTAAATTTTGTGGACTTTAAAAAATCTTATTTCTGGCTCAGCGCTTCCCAGTTGATGAGCTCTATGACTTGGAAATCTAGTAGTCATTTCTCATCAGTCAATTTTAGGTCATTTGTACATGTGCACACACTCATTCGTGCAGTCTCTGTGATATTGAAGATAGGCAGTGAAATCTAATGGAAAAGAACAGAAATTAAACCTCATATTCTAATGTTGGTTCTTATATGCTTTGGGCTACAGGTGAAACAGGTTTACTAGTGTTTGCACAGGGAAACCAACTTCCTTACTGCCTTTTTGTTCCCTGTCTACAGGCACCAGAATGTTCCCTCCCTCCAGTGGCCTGACTCTCTCCTGCTGGTTTCTGGTTAGCAAGTTTGGTTTGGTGCACAACAGTCACCCGCTTCGTTTCCTTACGGTCGTGAGGCACATGTCAAGAACAGAGCAAGAATTTATTTGCTTTTCAGTTAGCTTCTTTCCGCAGGACCATTCCTTGGTCATTTCCACAGAAGAAGTGGAATTCCAGCCACTCGGTAAGGCTCCTCTCAGTCAAGTTGCAGTGCTGTGTCCTCTGATTATTGGGAATTTTTCATTAACAAATTTCCTCTTCTTATAAGTACCCAAGACATTGAGACTTTTTATTTCTTTGGTGTTCTTTTGGCAGCCTGTTGTGATTGCAATTCTTGGTCATATTTCAGTTTTAAGTTTGTTGTAGATATTGAGAATTAATTTTTGGCCTGCAATATATGATAAAACTTGTAAATATTCTAAGGAAAACTTTTGAATGTCAGTTATATGGTTGCGTGATGTTGTGGGAGCTGGACTTGAACCAGCTGGTCCCTGCGTGTTCCATGTGGTAGTAGGCAGATTTGGAGAGTAGGACTGAGGAATTTGAGAGTGATCTAGTTTACTAATCAAATAGCTCATTTTCTCTCCTCACTTTTAGTGTTCTCTATCATGCCAGCCTATTAATCTTTTTTCCTTGTTGGCCTTTATCACTTCTTATTGAGTGCAGTAGGTAAATCAAATGTGAATGTGATTGAACATTGCAGGAGAGGTTGGGAATGGACGGGGAATATTAGCTGGGATTTTTCGTGCACAGCTGACTTTGTGAGTGCTCTGACTACCTTAGATAATGTTAAAAATCTCAGCTTGCCTTTTTTCATAAAAACTACAAATTAATGTACAGAGTTTTATCATCTCATGAATTCACTAGGAATTTTTTTCTGTGTCAGCTAATTCAGTGAATATCCTGAGAGGTTCTTCTCTTAGAGAAGAGTTGACTGTCCTAGTGCAGTCTAGTTTTGCAGCATTGAGGCAGCTAGCAGGTGTTAATTGGGAGTATGGCACATAGAATGCCAGAGGGATCTTAAGAGCTGTGCGAGTATCAGGTCCTGATAATAGACCTTCACGGAATGTTTTAACAACATTGAACAGAATTGCGCCACGCTCTATACCCACAGAGAGTCATGTTCTTGTGTCACATTTGATAGTTGTGTTCCAGAGGCAGGGAAAGGTGAGGGAGACTTTCTGTTGACTGCCCCCTGTTTTTGCTGTTACAGATATCATGGAACCTGAGGGTGAGGTCCTAACTACCTCCCCATTTCCAGGGCAAGTTCAGTTTGGCTGTGGCAAGCTCCTAGTCACTGGCCAGTGGCATCATCTCGCAGTGACAGTCGCTAAGGAAGCAAAGAAGAACTGCATTGTATCAGCTTATATAAATGGTCAGATGCTTGGCTCTGCAAAGGTAAAGGCTCTCTGCATAGATCTTGTATCTGACATTTGCCTTTCATTGCTTTTCATTTTCAACTCCCCATGCACGTACCATGACTTTTCATTATTAACCTGGGAGACTCAAAGCATGGTGATTTGCCTGCATAACTCATGCCACTCTGCACTGTGCATGAGTGGAGTCAGAAATCCATACAAACCAGGGTGTGTTTGTGCTGTTTTTCAGAAGTATGTTATCAGCTTATACTGATGCTTTGAACTGGTTCCTCCCTCCCCTCTCAGCATGCAGATAACCAAGGCAATTTTGAGTGGTTACACTTACCTGAGAGTTGGGGTTACCTGGTTTTTCCAGTAGCTCAGGGTTATGTTGATGAAGTTCAATTGTAGCCTTAGGCCAAAATTTTCTGAATTGACTAATGATTTTGAGGATCTCTAAGTTTACACCCAGGTTTTCAGAAGTTGTCAAAAGGTATATCACGTTAAGATGTGATCAGACAACCCTAAACTAAAGGTGCTGTGGAATTAGGCTAAAACCTGTAAAGGTGATGAGTTATGTAGAGGGCCTCCATTTTTGAACAAAGGCCTGGAAAACCAGAAAGGTCGCAGAGGAAATAAACTTCTGTGACTGGCCAGCTCTTTGCAAGAAGATGGATGGAATTTCCTCAGGTGTCTTACATGGGCATGTTTCAAGCTGTCTTCTTCCTGTTACACCTACTGAAGAATCAGCTGGTTAGTCAGTGTCCTTTTTCCCATTGGCACTCTAAGTGTTCAGGAACAGATAGATAGAGGCCGCTCACCAGTGGGGTTCCCCAGGGCTCAGTGCTGGTCCAGTTCTGTTTAACATCTTTATCAATGACCTGGATGAGGGGATTGAATGTACCCTCAGTAAATTTGCGGATGACACCAAGCTGGGAGGCTGTGTCGATCTGCTTGAGGGTAGAGAGGCCCTTCAGAGGGATTTGAACAGACTGGATCGTTGGGCTGAGGCCAATGGCATGAGCTTTAATAAGGCCAAGTGCAGAGTCCTTCACTTGGGGTGTAAAAACCCCAAGCATCGCTACAGGCTCGGGGAGGAGTGGCTGGAGAGCTGCCTGGCGGAGAAGGACCTGGGGGTGTTGGTTGACTACCGGCTTGATATGAGCCAGCAGTGTGCCCAGGTGGCCAAAAAGGCCAATGCGATACTGGCGTGTATCAAGAATAGTGTGACCAGCAGGAGCAGGGAAGTGATCCTGCCCCTGTACTTGGCAGTGGTGAGGCCGCACCTGGAATATTGTGTCCAGTTTTGGGCCCCTCGCTTTGAGAGAGAGATTGAGCTCCTGGAGCGAGTCCAAAGAAGGGCGACTAAACTGGTCAAGGGGCTGGAAAATAAAACTTATGAGGAGCGGCTGAGGGAGTTGGGGCTGTTTAGCCTGGAGAAGAGGAGGCTGAGGGGAGACCTGATTACAGCCTACAAATACTTGAGAAGGGATGGTGGGGAGGTGGGGGAAGGGCTCTTTACATTAGTGTTGGGTGATAGAACAAGAGGAAATGGGTACAAGCTTAGTCAAGGGAGATTCAGGTTGGATGTTAGGAAGTATTTCTTCTCTGAAAGGGTTGTCAGCCACTGGAATAGGCTGCCCAGGGAGGTGGTTGAGTCCCCATCCCTGGATGTGTTTAAGAATAGGGTGGATGATCTACTTGAGGATATGGTTTAATGGGGATTAGGGATGGTTGGACTCGATGATCTCTAAGGTGTTTTCCAACCTAGAAATCTATGAATCTATGTTCCTCTGGGTTAGTTGTTCAGTGTGCAAGATAGCTTTTGAAATAAAATAGTATTTCTTTTTGGAGTTAATAGAAATGAAAGAAATGTTTCAATAAGGAGAAATCTGCAAATTTCAATGACATCAACTCACAAGTTCATTGCAAATGTTGGTGTAGCTATTATTCCCCCTAATGTGCCATTTCTTGTGATCTTGTTGCATGGGGGTCAGTTTTCAAATGGTGAATTTCTCAGGTTGCAAGAGATCACAAGAAAGTAATCCAAATGCACCCAAAGGGTTCATGATGTACAGGATAAATGAGAAGATCTTCTGATTTATATGATCATTATCTTTATGCTCCTGGTCTTGAAGCTAATCTCAAATTATTTCTGAGATTTGATTTTTGGATTTTAAATGCTCCAGGTTGGCAATGCTGAAAATGCAGCCTATTTCTATTGTAGCTCTAGTTGGTGTGGTGGCTTTTTGGTTTTGTTTTTGAATAGAATCCTTTTATTAATTGAAACTTGTAACTTGTTTCTCTTCCTTCTTGCTCCCGTATTTCAAATAATCAATTTCAGCACATGCAAAGCTCACTTGTGTGTTTTATTCTTCCCTTTTTAAAACAACCTGTTTATTTCCAAATATTCTCTTTCCCGTACTTGAGAAAAATGATCTGTCTTCTAAATGCCTTTTGGGACCTATATCCATTTCAAGAATGAAAATTTAATTTAATTTGCCTTCATTCAAATGAGACTGAAAGTCATCAATAAAACTAGGCATAAGCATTGCAATTGATTAAAGAATTCAGAGCAAATGTGTTTAACATACAATGAAACAGCTCATAATAAATAAAACAAGCCCTCAGTAAATAAAAGATGGTCCCAGTGCTGGGGTCTCTGACATGATGCAAGCCTTCATCTTGATGTGTACAGTGAAGAAAAGATTGAGGCTGAGAGAGCTGGGTCTCTTTAGCTTGGAGGAGACTGAGGGGGTACCTCATTAATGTTTATAAATATGTAAAGGGTGACTGTTATGAGGATGGAGCCAGGCTCTTCTTGGTGGCATCCAATGATAGGACAAGGGGAAATGGATGTAAGCTGGAACATAGGAGGTTCCGCTTAAACATGAGGAAGAACTTCTTCCCAGTAAGGGTAACAGAACACTGGAACAGGCTTCCCAGAGAGGTTGTGGAGTCTCCTTCTCTGGAGAAGTTCAAAACCCGCCTGGACGCGTTCTTGTGTGATCTAATCTAGGTGGTCCTGCTCTGGCAGGGGGATTGGACTAGATGATCCTTTGAGGCCCCTTCCAATCCCTAACATTCTGTGATTGTGTGATTGTGTAAGAAATAGGAATTGCACAAATGTTGTTAACAATACCGAAAGCTATTTTTGGGTAGTGGAGCTAGGGAGGGGTGAGGTGGGTTGGTCACTGCGTTGCATCAAGCCTAATACCTGTTCACTCAAGTAGCAAGTCCTGCCTCCTAATGTTGACCAGCCCTGTCTTCTACATCTCAGTAGTCAGAGATCAGTACATGCTAGGAGTTTGTCATCCTAACAGCAAATTGTTAAAGGCAGGGCTAAGCCCTGGAGTACAATATAGTTTCTCTCTATCAAAAAAATTCCAACTACGTCCTACTAGAGCTGTCCACACTTAAAGAAAACAATAGACTCAATTTAGGAGGCTGAATCCTTATTTTGATACCAAAAAAAAATGGTTCGATTTCCTAAACTATGTCACTTTCACTGAAGCTAACTGATGCACTTGGACACTCTACACTCTTCAAAAACTGTTTATTCTCTAGGTGCCTAGTACAACATGTGATCTGTAACATGGTGCTCTGTGTTGAAAGTCACAGTCTGAGTTATGAAGTTTAGAACAGGCAAAATAAGCCTGGGATCAAGATAGGGCTTTTCTTTGCCAGCATTTGAAATTTTTTTGACTGCTTTTTTTGTTCAAAAAGTAGGCTTGAACTTTCCAAAATGCTTATGTTTGTGATACTTCTGAAAGTCCAGTTTCTAAATAGCAGTTGATAATTTTGTTGCACAGCTGACTGAGACTTCATTGAGGAAAGAGGCAGCAGGCAGTACCTTCTGGGGACAAGACCTTAAGGCACCCTGAGTGTATCGGATGCCCTCAGCGAATTCTTTCTCTGTTGCAGATGCAGTATCTCCAACCTTTGCCAGGTAGCTGTATTTCCATGGAACCCTCTTCCTTTGTTGATGTCTATGGGTACATAGCTACTCCTCGAATATGGAAACAGAAGTCGTCCTTGACCTGGCGCCTTGGCCCTACATACTTGTTTGAAGAAGCTATCTCTGTGGAAACCATGGATGTGATTAATAAGCTCGGCCCACAGTATTGTAGCAATTTCCAAGCAGTACAGCTTCAAGGTATGTGATGATTTTCATATTCACCACTATTTGTTTGTCAGAGCAGTGCTCTTTTTATTCTAATAATCTTTTATTAGTATTCCAACTTCGTCTAGAGCTTGCTCTAAAAGCCGTTACTGAGTGTTATACAAGTTTGTAGTAAGATTGTAGTAAGATACCATGAGGATCTTGTAACATACTGTAAATTGGGCAGAAGAAGGAGGGCAGGAATCAAGCAGCAGAGAGCTGGAGAATAAAGAGGGATAGCATGTCCTTGAGGAGCTGTAACATTGCAATTTCTGTTGGACAAACATTAAAGCAGCTTTAACTGAGACATTTTGCTTTTATGGTGCTACAGAAAAAACATGGCAGAAAAAGAATGCCTGCAGAGTAGGAGAGAGCACAGGGGAGAGAACGGTAGGGGAATAAGTTACATTCCATTTAACGAAGATGCGTTTTAACTAAAGTATACTGTTAGCTTCAGTTACGAAACAGACAAAATATTTTGGTTATTGATTACGGTTTGTTCAACAAGTAGTGGATTCACCTCTATACTAGAGACTGGGATGAAAAGGGATAGATGTCTCCCATTTGAGAAGAGCAGAATAATCTCACCTGGTGATGTTCCAGCCTAAAGCAAAATGAAAAGACTGGCTGAAAATACTCCTTCAGGGTACTGTCTATCTAGACAAAAAAAAACTAGTCAAGCATGGGAAAGGGTTGTTGAAAGAGAAATTATATCAAAATATAGCCCTAAAAGAAAAATATTACCAAGAGAAGTCAGAAGGAATTGATTTTGAAGTGTTGAGTCTTTATGAAGTCTGGGGTGCTTGTTCTCTGCACGCTGGTCTTCCCAGCTGGACTTGAGTACTAGTCATAGATTGTGGCCATCTGACTCCGGTGATGTCCTGATGCAGGGAAATCACAGGGCACTCCACAAGATGTGATCTCTCATTGTGAAATGATCTCTCTTTCTTTCTCTTCCTAATCTCCAGCCTCTCTTCCTTTTTTTTTTCTTTTTTGGGAGTTGGAGGGAAGGGCAGGGAGGGGAGATGGTACTTAACATCCAAAGAAACTTTTCTAATGGAAATTTTGACTTAAAGTTTCAGCATAGAACCCCAAAATATTATGATTTATTCCTTAAAATGGATTTATGACCTTGTTGTGAACAGCAATTGGAATTGTTTCAGCAGTGTTGTGTCCCATCTTGCCAGTGTCTCATTGCTTCTTGCTAATCAGCAGCAGCTGTGTGAAGGCTTAGCCATAAGCCTGTGTCCTACTGGAAAGGAAGTAGATGTCATAGTCTTTGGGGCATTTACTTCTAGTTAATCTTCATGCAAAATATGTGCTAACTCTTTTTGCCTATAAGGGCTGTGTCACCAGCATTAGTAAACAGTTTCATAAATCAACTGTTTTCCCAGTCTATAAAATTGTCAAAAATACAATAATTATTTTTTTTAAAAAAAGATAAAGTTTTCCCAAGCGTGAGCAGAAATAGAAAATTCTTTAAAGAGAAGCATGTAAGAATTTCTTGCAGTCATTAAACTGCTGAATCTGGCACTTATTAGAAACTTTCCATATGTTGTGAGTTGGCAGCTCTGAACTTTTGCCTTTGTCCCTTTTCTTCCACCATGAAACCTTGCTCCTAATACCACTGAGAATGTTCCCAAAACCATGGAAAGTCTCTGAAATCTTTTCTCTTCCCAGAAAGTTTGTTTATATTGTGTGGATAGAGAAAGGTTTACTGGGGACTTGGCTGAGCTTCATGAGATACTGAGAGAGGATGTAGGATCTACACAAAACGTTAACCAGAGAAGACAAGCCAAACACGTCTTATTGGTGCTTACGCTGGCAAGCTGCCATGGATGGTGGTACAAAGCATGAGGGCTTTTTTTTTGTGATTATAGTTGAGTCAAAATTAAATTAATATCTAAACTTTGTTTTCCTCCAGTTGTTTTTCATCTGCCTCTCTCCTGTCTCACATTAAGTATGCAGAATTCCTTCAGAGGTTTATAATCTCTCCTGTGTTAGGTGAGGACAAGTACAGTGATCATAATCCTACACCTCTGGTGGCGGAAGATAAGATTTCTTTTGGAATCAATGCCATGTGTTCATCTTTCACTACGGTCCAAGATATAAAGAGCTCCTACAATGAAGTGGATGGCCGTCTGGTTGCCAAAGAGGTCACAAATTTCCGTCGTTTGTCTTAAACATGTTTTCTCCTGTTTCTGATTGGTTTCCTAGAGCAAAGTTTGTGACTTTGTCGTAGTTGTGTACCTTTGGTGATTTTTTTTTTTCTTTCCCCAGCTTCTCTTCCCAGTCCTTAATTCCATTCTACCCATGGTTTTGTTTTCATCTATGGAGAGGAATAGATTGGACAGTGTGAACACAATGTTAAAAGCCTTTATTAAAACAGCAACAGAAGCTATAGTTTTCAGGTCTAATAGTAATTTGCTTCAGTACATGATTTCTTAATGCCTTCACAATGACCTTTCACATGCTATTCTAGCATTCTTGCCAATGCCAGGCCCACTGACATGTCAAAGTAACAGGGTTGTGCGATATTTTAGGTGGGTGAATGTTTGTCCTAACAATCAACTTTGAAGGAAAAATAAGAGAGTTTTCATAGTCAAAAAGTAATAAAATAATCTAAAGTATTAGAGTGCCTGCTTGTTACTTTTTGTCTCCCCAGTACTACCACAGTTTTTCTTAGGATGTCTCTTATCTGTTTAGATTGGGATTAACTCGCGGGACAGTTCAACTCCGATATTCCTAGCTAAGAATATTGCTGGACACCTCTCAGGTTCCTTGCGGACTATTGGGTCAGTTGCTGTGGGCCAATATGGTAAATGCACTACGACTTAATATTTCATATTTTTTAAGAGTTGGGCCTTTCTCTGTCCAATAGTAGATTTAGTCCATGTAACTTCCTATTACAGTAACCCTGCTATTTCCTAGGGGTAAGAGTGTTCCAGTCCTCTCCAGCAGCTACTAGCCTGAACTTCATTGGAGGCCCTGCCATTCTCCTGGGTCTCATTGCTATGGCCTGTGATGACCACACCATGTATGCAGCTGTCAAAGTCCTGAACTCTATCCTGAACAGCAGTCCAATGAGTGAAAAATTGATGAGGCACATCCATGGATACCAGGTAGATACTCTTTTTCATTCATTCTGGTTATAGTCTTGACTTTGGAGAGCCTTATCTCAAAATCATATCCTGGATATTAGCACTTATGGTTGGAACTTGGTAAATTGAAATCTTTGAGAGGGAGATATAGGATAGTGCTCTAAATCCTGTGCTTACAGTCTCTGAGAACCTCTATAACAGCATATCTACTGATGAGAAGGTGAGGACAGATGCGTCTTGGTCAGACGTGATCTAGTAAACTAAATAAGCCAGTGCAGCAGATCTGCGAGTGAACCATCCTTCATCTTTCACCAACACACTTAATTTCTCCTACGAGGGTCCACTTCTCAGGCAGGTCTGCTTCCTCACCTTGTTTCATCCAGCCTAAGATTCCTCTTTACAGACTGCCCAGTATAGGGCTGACAATGAACTCCTGTGGCTCAGTCTTCACTGTATATTAGCAATTGTGCTGATATAAATAAGTGCTTTCCAGATTTCATTGATTAAGTCTGTCCTAAATTCATCTTTCAAACCTGAAAGTTTTGCAGACTGAAAAGTTTAGTTGTATTTAAGCACTATGTACCCAATACTGGACAGGTTAAGGCTCAGATGTGAAGTTTCAGTTCAGTATCATTTACTTTGTGCTGTATAGGAGAAGCAGTGTCTTATGGAACAGAGAAGACCCTTTAACACACATGGTTCCAGACAAGACTCTTAGCATTTGGGCTTCATGAATTATTTATTGTAAACTTGCCATTTTCCCAATTTGTGAATTGTTCATAAATTGATCCTGATTCATATGAATATTTCTCATACTTAGATATTGCTTGCCCAGTCCTTTCTTGTAGGTGAATGCCAGCCTTTAGATTGTGTGCAAGCTGTTCCTTTTGACTTTGTGCTAAATAGCGTTCTCTCCATGTGACTGATCATCATGTTGCAATGGAGTAGTTTTGCTCTTTATTTGGATGTCTGAACCTTTTTTAAACAGCCAACTAAAAAACCATCACTTGATATGTATTTTCAAATGAATGTCTATTCCTCCTAACTTATTAAAAATGTAGCAGCTTTCTGAAAATTTTTCTCACTGTATCAGGAATTCATTGAATAATGAAAGTAGACTCACTTGAGAAACTGGCAATGTTTCTTTCACACAAATGTCTTCAATTTGAAGACATCAACATGATTTTTTTTCAACTAACACCATTTGCAAGCAACTAAGAATACATCCATGAAGAACAGTGTAGAAAACCTACTGTGATTATTTACAATTATTTGTATGTTGCTTTTTATAAGTTCTATTCCACATAATATGGCATGTATTTCACCTCCTGTTCAATGCCACAGACTTGTCAAACTCCTTCAAAAACTTACCCTTTCACTTACTGCACAAAATTGTATGCCTGGACTGAAACCTTCACTTTCTTCATAATGCTTATGTAAGACACATGCATGCATGACTACTACAGCCAAGTAAACTGTGCATTTGTCTTGAATTAAAAAAGTGTTATATGTTAGTTTACAAATACAGATTTATCCTCAGCAGATACTTACTTAGTCTTTTTTTTCTTTTTTTTCCAGTTACTGACCTATCTACTGAAGAGGAAGACACAGCTGCTAAACAACAGGATTTTACAGTTAATGTTCTCCCTGGTGGGCACAGCTGAGCTTGGCTTTGAGTCTTCAGTCATCAAGAATTACAGTGCGTTCCAGTATGTTCTCTGCAACTTCGAGGTAAAACTTGATGTCACTTTGTGGGTTTGACTGTATTAAAGATGGCTTTATAGTACGAGGTTTGGTTTGTTCATAGCACCTCCTGGATGTGACATTTGGGATGGAGTGGTGTGTGGTGACTTTTCCATGCTGCGCCTCACCTGAGGAGGTGGTAGCTTTTGGAATGGCAGGTTCTCTGTCACCATGGCTCCCCACTATGCCCCGGTGCAGTTTCTGGAGTGTTCCTGCGGACCCCGAGGGCCTGCTCCTCAGGGCTAGCTCAGGAGCAGCAGCTCCTCACACTGGCAAGGATTTCCCGGTGCCTGCAGGTTGTCATCGCAGAAACGACTAACGGTTTATGATGTTATCCTTCCTGAACTACTTGTAACTGTTTCTCTGCCACAAGTTACTATTCTCTCAGCTCAGCAGAGCAGTAAAACCTCTGGTTTATTTGTCTTTCAGCTTTGGATGAGAGCACCAGAAAATCTTGACCTTGCTCTTTTTTCACATCTTGTGGAGATCTTGCAGTCCTCCAGGTACACAAGCTAGTGCTTGAATCAGAAATGTGTGGGACAAGCTCATCTGTAACCTGAAGCTGGAGCTGTGAGGTAGATATGAAGGGTCCAATACTAGTTGGAATCAGTGGACTCTGGGAGTGAATCATTCCTATATTGCTCTTCCAAGGCTGGAGTTACCAATTTGATCAGCCCCTGAGATGACTGTGGAGCCAAACTGGGAAAAGCTTTCTGGTGACCTAGTCTACATGGAACCACTGTTGTACAGTTGTACAATGAAAGTTAAAATGTCTGCTGGGGAGGAGAAATCTGAACGCTTGAATTGAGTATGAAATAAACAAATTCACTTAGAACTTTTTTTATTAAAATCAAAACATATCCCAGGAAGTCTTTTTTATAACAGTGTACTTTCTTAATCAGCTGTACTAGAGTTAAATCTATCTGAAGAAACACAGGATGGCAGGGGCGGCTAGACACAGAATGCTAGATTCCTTCTTTTTGGTACCAGAAAGCTCTATGCAGAGCTGTCTGATGTCCCTTGCTGAGTTTTACAAGAGTAGCATTTATTACCACCAACTCACTGCTTGCAAATTCAATAATATTGTTTTTTAACTCTTTGAAATGCAGCAGTTTCTGGGGAAGAGAGCAGATGGGAAGGGTAGAGAGCATACAAAGAAGTCTTGAGATATGCGTTGTTGACACATATTCAATTTGTCGGACAGTGTTTGAAATGTTGCCAAAGCAACATTAGAAGCCGAAGGCGCAAAGTATCAGTGCAACTTGAGAACCCTTTTAGCTGAAACCCAGCAAATTTGGTTCTTTCCGGTAAAAGCTTTTAATAGTCCCTGTGCTTTTTCACAGAGATAGATGTCAGAATGCTGCAATTGCCTACCAGGTGCAAATGGTGCCCAAGCTCATCTTCCTCTTCAATGATCCTGAAATCAGTAACTCCAGGATCACTGTGGCCTGCACTATTCTCTCCCATCTCTTGCAAGGATATTTTAATACAAGAGATGTTCTCAGGTAACCTTCAAGTCTACGGCTTTTTCTCAGTTTGCAGATGAGCTATACTCCTGCTGGTGTTGGAGAGAGCTCTGTAGTAGAAATTCCCTCACCTCTTCTTTGGTAGAAGCCCCCAGATCTTTGACAACTGCAGGAATCCCCACTGATGAAAAACTGTTGCATGCGTTCAAAACAGTTCAGTCTAACCGTATAACATCGTGAGATTGGGTTGCGTGATAACCCTTACAGTGATGGCACAAACAGTTCTGCTAGTATGACTGGGACTGCTCAAAGTCTGTACTTAATATTTAGTTTCATTAAAGCCTGCCCCTAAAGTACTGCAATCACTATAGTACTGCAACTTGGCCCCAGTCAACTACATACCTAATCCTGTTGACTTGGTAACTATCCTTTTTGTTCTTGAATTTCAATCAGTTAATATATGTTAGTCAGGATTTCATGAAGCAAAAAATTTAAATCTTTGTTTGCTTTCCGCAGAATGTAAACACTGCTCCATTTTACATTCCCAGACCAGTTGCATCAGCCTGTAGCCTATGAACTGAGGAAGGTCCGCACAGGGCTGTTTACAGCCACCTAACTCCAGGGAAATGCACTGCACAGATGGCAGCTCTGTTTCTAGAGCTCTTTGTCCAGACAAAACACAGAAACAGAGTTGCATGTCAAACCTGTGGTCTTTGCAGTCAGCCTTTAGCTCCGTTGAAGAGTACGAGCACCTCAAGTAGTTACTGTGGAGTAAGCAAATAAGTGAACTTACTGCTTGCCAGCTGTTTTGTGGAATTACCTGTATGTATGTTCCTACTATGGGCTTGTATGAGTTAGCCTATTCTTTTTTTCATACAGGCGTAAGTAGTAGATTTAGTATACCAAATTTGCCATGTGCTAAGGAGTGCGAATGAGCATTTTTATTAAAATATTACGATTTGTTTTTCCATGGTAATTTGATTGGTGTCAGACCCATGAGTGCTGAGTGAGTGGATAAAGACAGTCCCTATCCTTCCAGCTCCAGGAGAGCAGAGAGTATAACAGGCTCTCAGCGTCACTGAAAGGTGCTGGAGTTTCTGCTGGTCCAAGATTTTTGACACATCTAATGGAAATTGCTGCGCGGACTGTTCCTGCAGAACAAGTGGTGTTCTGTCCCTTAAGAAATGCTGTTCTTGTGGGCAGGAGGAGGTTACACGCTTTCACTAAGTGTGTATGTCACATTAATCAATCTATCTTTAGAAACAGGTAATGTGTTAGAACAAACTACAGGTGAAGAGATGGCCGGTCCTCCTCCCTGAGTACCTGCTGAGGTTTCTCTGCTCTCCTTTGTGTGCTTGGAAACCAAGCGGTGATAGCAGTGATATCTGAATGATGCAGGCAGTTCAGAATCTCTTAGTATGAACAAAGTGCTTAACTCAGTATTGCTTTCCTCCTGGTGCAAAACCTTTGAAATCGAGAGATAGAGAAAAATGTTTCCATAGTAGAACAGATATTACTTGCATTTCTAGATTGATATTACTTGCATTTGTAGATAGATGTTCTTTTTGTTTTCTTCCTAGTTTATGAACTTTTGTGTTCCTATTTCAACCCTATTTCTGCAGTGATTAGAATTTCCAGTGGTTGTCATTAAGAGCTGTTATTAATGAGTATTGAGATTTGTGTGTAATCTCAAAGTAATTAAATGAATATCTGTCTGTCTGCTGAAAAAAAAACTGCTTCCCTCTTTCTCTGCAAGGATTGGCTTGTTCCTTGTTTACACTTTGAAACCTTCTTCTGTGGATGAAAATCAGATTTGCGTGGACAGTGTGGCTGAGATGCCCAATGAAGGTGAGGAGTTGCCTTTGGTATATGTGTTCTGATAGATAGCTAAAGTACTTCCCGTCTTCACCAGGGCATGATGAACCCTAAATACAACATAGTGCTTCTGCCTCCAGTGGCAGGAGGACACAATTCAAATTATTTCATCTGGAAAGGGACAGGCTGCATTGAGATGACCTGAAATTGTGGGGAAAACTTATATTGCTACAAAGGCCTGATGTGAAGTATAGCGAAGTGACAATCACTGTGTATGTATCCGGGAAGGTCTGTCCTATGGCAAGATCCTCCTCCTGCTAAGGGAGTTACCCTTTCGTCCTCTCTCTGCTAATAAGCCAGCAGTACTTTGGCTGTAGTGTCCAGAGCCTACGCAATGTTGGACTTCACAAATGTACACGGAGATGAAGGCCATTAAATTGAAACTGCCCCACACTAGCTTGCCGAGCTGTTACAAAGAACAGAATTTCACTTGGCATCCTGGGTTTTCTATGAACACTTTGCTACACTTAAAGTTGTAGCAAGTCATAATGTGGAGCTCTGCACCTTTTAAAGTATCTATGTATTTATGTCAGCTTTGTGTGAGGGAACTTCCAGTCAGCTTGCTCTTTCACTATGATCTTTCAGTTGAGACTATATTGGTTATTGTACCTCTAAACAATATATTATATTGAGGAGACACTGATAACTGTGGTTTATAGAGAGAGACTGATATCACAGATAGGCCATACAAGTCAGATTGTCTGTTTATGTTTCCCTCTCTAATTGACCTCGAGATTGCTTCCCGTGGATTATTGTTCAACATGTAGTCTGGATGAGTTTTAAGTAACTCTAAAGAGAGGACTTTGACAATGTAAACACTGGTCATTTCTGATGTTAGCAGGAATTCTTATGTCTAAAATCTGATGTCTTGCATCTTTTTGCTCTACCAAAGACTGATGTAAATACTGCAACTGGGCAAATCTGTTGCAAACAAGGTTGTTCATCAAAGCAATGGAACATGTGTTTTATCTCTTCATTACTCTTTATTACTTTCTGATATTTGTAGCCTTAAGCCAAACATCTGGAAAGACAATCTGGCTTCGAAACCAGTTACTGAAAATGCTGTTAGATGTAATGTACTCAGACAAACTTCAACTGTCCTCTGAGTAAGTAGAAACAATTTAGGAAGGCGTGGGTAAGTGTCTCTGTCTTCCAGATTTCCTCTTTTCTGGTGCTTGACCAGAACTAAACACAGATAGTGTTTGAGTCTCAAAAAAATAGTAAGTGAGAGCAGACTGGATTCAGAGTTATTTTTTCAGTGATTTATCTGACATTCACACAGATGTCTGATCAGATCACACATCTGATCTCCATCTCAAAAAAAATTTAAAGTTTTCAGAAAATGTCTCGAAGGAAGAACTCAAATATTGCTGTTTCTTCTGCATTGCAAGGGTTGAAGAAATCTGAGCTGGCTTTGAAAATCTAATTCAATCTAATGTGGGATTACTTGCACCCCTCTATTGTGACCATGAACATGCAGTTACTATAGTTCTACCTTGTATAACTGAAAGGCAGAGTTCATAGTGCCAGGTGCTGTAACTGTGCATTTTCATTAGTTAACATATCTTGGACTTCAAAATTTAAACTGGAATTTTTAATTTCATAGGTTGAAATATCTAGTCTGCGATGTAGTTTACCTCAGTTATTGAAACACACTTTCAGAAGGAGCTTCATGTTAACGAGCTTTTTTGTCTGACAGTTAATATAAGGTTGGATTTAGTGGAAATTAACTCGTGGATGTTGGCTTGAACTGTGTGGATGATTCTATTGTTAAATCTTTGTAATTATGTGTTGAGGTATGCCTTTAGTCAGATATTTTCTAGAGAAATATGAGCTTCTAAATCACTTAGAGATAATTTTAAATAAAATCTGCTTTCTGTCTTCCACCATGTCTCCTTTCATGTGTTTTCATTTCCTTGTTTGTCCTAGGGAACAAGAGGAGACATTTTTGGCGCTGGGGCCAGACTGGTTTCTGCTGTTTACACAGAGCTACTTGCACTCTAGCACAGTTGTGCTAGGAATCAGACTACTTCTATGCTTCCTCCACAATCGTTCTCTGCTGAAAAAATTCAAGGAGGGGATAGTGGCTGGGCGCTGGCTGGAAAACAGCTCTGCGGGGCTGAGTATTCTAATGGGTATGTGTTGGTTTAATGCTCCCAAAACAATCTCTTAATCCAGCTCAGTGATAGAAGATCACTGAAGTATGTGTTTGGAGAATTCCCACTGATCTCAGCAGACTAAGAATTGATATTACTTTCTAGGGTAAGCTTGTCCTAGCACTTCAGCTTCTCTGTGCTGAAGAGTGGAAAGCATTGCTTTTCCCTTGCATGATAGTTGGCATTTCTAATCAGCAGTTGCAGGAAAACAGGCCTTTTTGTCTTGCATTAAATCAGGCTGATTGATAAGTCTGTGTGGTGTTCAGATGTCAGCTTGTGCCCTGAAACCTTCTGTTTCTTTAAGATTTATTCAGCTTGCTTTTTGATAACTGGGCCTGTGGTTCAGAGAAAGGGAAGAGAAAGGAAAAAGAAGAATTTAGGGAGAATCTCCTGTAACAAAAGTGATAGTAGGAAAAAATTGTTATCTGTTAGTCTATGGAAGTTTTGTAAACTATTGATATTGCAACCTAGCAGAGTACTGGGACACACAGGCAAATGAGGATAAAGTAATCCTTCCTCTGATATGACATTCATTTTTAGACACTTCCTCAGAATGTTTTTGTTTTCTTTTCCTTTAAAGATAATTTAAAAACTCATCCTCCAGTGCCTGACAATGGCTCCTTCTTGATTTTTGGATTTTCTGTGTTGCAAAGATGTTTGACTGATCATGTTCACATCCCTGAGATCTACTTGCTCGTGGCAGGGCTTTTTCTGGCAACTCCGCAGTCTGAACCACCTGAGGCAGCCAAGGTATGAAAAAAATAGTGGACAAGCATGAATCTGCTATTGCTTTACTACTTTGGTGTTTTGTGGCCTTTTTTGAGAGGATTCTCAGGCAAATCTAAAATTAACTCTGCTTGGTCTCTATGGTAGTTAAAATTAGTCATTCATATTCTTTAAAGATTAAGCAAGTCAACTTTGAAGGAAATTTGTATTTGGAACCAACTCGTTCATGCAGATGTTAAATGCTATTTAACTACTGTACTTTAAAAAGTAATTCAGATTTGCTTCCCTATCTATTCTTACATTGTGAAGACTCATTCAAATCTCAGAATTAGTGGATCTGAGTACTTTCCCCCAGTGTCCT